TATTCTCATATCCCATCTCTCTTGCCGACCTCAAAAAGGTCAAACCAAAAAGATTCTTCCCAACCTCTTCTTTAACGTCTCGTGACCACATCTAGACCGAGCCTCGGATCCCCGGGAACCCCGGAGCCACGCGAGGCTCCCAAAACGACGACCCGAAGCCTTGGAACCTCGGGAGCAGCTTCATCCTGGATGGCCGGTGCTGTTTGTTGGGAGAACCCGCAGGAAAAACCAACGAAAAACCAACGAAACAACATGTGTTTTGGAATGGCATGATGGCAGTGATTCCGCACGATTTTGAGGTACGGTACCACCAAGCAATTGCAAAGGATACACCTCCCTTTGTTTTAATATGATTTAATCATGGTTAAGTGGATGGCATGACCCCTGAAAAGACCCTGATTCGAATAAACATCTGAAAAGGATTGAAAAGGTCAATAGCAACTAACTCTATGACTTATGCTCAGGCACAAACATCACTCACCATCCAAAATCCAGCCAGCACTGAAGTGCCGCGTCATCGCAGTTGAAACCAGGCCGCTTCTGGGCGACTGGTTACCCAGCAGGGGAAGAAAGAGGAAAAGCACGGGTCTTCCACCGGCCTTATGAGCAAAGCCTCGCATGAGCTTGCGCTTCTCACGTTGTTGCTTCTTCCACGCTTCACGACCTCACACCGCTTCGGTCGAACGACACCGAACCCCTCCGCTCCGCCACCGTGCCCCTCCCCCTCCGCTGGTCGAAGAGAAGAGACGCGGCGCGTCTGTCACGGGATCCTGTGGCCACCGGGGTCTCCGTCCGGTTCGCGCGGGGGTCGAAGCCGCGGGGGTCGCCGCGAGGTCGTGAGGGACGCGGGGTTCCGGCCCCCAGGACCTGCCGGATCGGCGAGGCCACGAGGAGAGCCGGATCGGCGCCCCCCGAACCCTCCGGGGAAGATGGGGCGATTGGCCTCCCGAAACCCGAACCAAGTCCGACCCAACGTGGATCACCCTTCGAACTTCTAACGTCTAAAACCGTCGGTTACGCGTTTGCCATCCATTTTGCACTGAGTTCTTCGAGCCCCCAGGCGTTGTTGGAGCTTCGACTGATGCGTCATGTGACAGAACCTGCGGCACAGCGGGGTAAGCCGCGCGCACCGTTTCCACAATAAAGGATTTGCCGCATCACACCGAATGAAGGACTCATATATGCTTCCAGTGTAAAAGGACTCATCCTTTTTTCGTGACATACATGCCGTGATAGATCAGAACCTTCTCCAAAGTAGTCTTCTTTTGACGGTGCAGGAAGAGGTCGAAACAGTCTCCTGAAAAGGTTACAAGAATCAAAAACTTAGTAGCTCTATACGGTGTTTCATTGTACATATATATATATATGTATATACTATGTATGTATATATATATGTATATATATGTATATGTGATTATATATGTATATATATATATATGGTTCCGTGATGGTTTCGGCCGCGCGCGCTTTGACTAATTTTCTCAGACAGTCAGACAGTAGTTCCTAACTACAAGAAGTGCGCGCGCTTCAGTTGGGCAAGTTCCTGCTTGAGAAGTTCATTTTCATGCCGGAGACGATCGTTTTCTTCTTCAATGTCTTGATGCACATGTCTTGATGAACAGGTGCAGGAAGAGCAAGCATTGGAACACTGCCTTGGGAAGTTGATGCCGAGCGAGCACGACCATCTTTCTTGGTTTGTAACCAAGACATCAACGCCGTCTGGCATTGACTCGACCAAGCAGAACCTTGTGCCAGGGTTCCCTGGTTGACTGCGTTGCGTCTGATGGTGTTGATTTGGATCTGAATTTGCTTTTTGGTGACTGCCGCCCTGTCACTATGCACAGCAATGGTTCCATTGTGAATGTTTTCCACGATGTCAGCTGCATCAGGAAAAGAAGTAGGCTCTGAAGAAGCGCTTTGAGACACATTGCCCATGAGCTCCAAAGTAATGTGCTGTCGTTCCAAAGACAAGAAGCAACAGCAATAGTAGACCAAGAAAACTATTATATGTATGTGTTAATGCTAACAAGTGGAAATGTTTCAAAAGTGGCTGTCCGAAATCATCCCCTAGCCATATATATATATATATATGTGTGTATATACATATATATATATATACGTATATACATGTTAACTACGTAATACTTGACTTGTTCATCTTCGTTCGGTTCGTGGTTTCACTCCACTGCAGTCTGAGACGCCCCACTTGCAATCTGCCCCGCGGTTACAGCCGCGCCGAGTGAAGCAATAGAAGGTACACGGAGTGCCTGGAAGGTCCAGAAAGCTCTTGGGACACTCTTGGAGGCTCCAGAGGACACCCTTTCTAAAGGCCAAAAGGCCTTTTTTAAGGAGCTTGGAACAAGGACGCTTCTGGGTGGAGGCCATCGCAATGAGGTTGGAGGCCATCGCTACTAGGTGGAGGCCATCGCTATTAAAAAGCTAAGGCCCAGGGATCTGGATGGAGCTGAGTGGTGGTGGCGCGAGCCCATGTGTGAGAGAGAGAGAGAGAGCTTGCTCAGCGAAAGGTGGGCAAAACGTGGCAAGCACAAGTCCTGCACGAGACTCACATTCCCCAAAAGGTGAATTTTGTATGCACCTGAGCTTTTTGTAGCGTTACGTCACATGCGCATCACAAATCCTCCACAAAGCTTCTAAATATCGAACATCTCAAACTTCCAGACAGTTGCTCGAATTCAAGTTTTTATACCTCCTGAACCTCATCCACCCTCATCTCTTTGGACTCCTCCCGCTCCTGAACCTCCCGCTCCCGCTCTCCCGAACCTCGTGCCCACCCGTTCCCCGCGACCCGCTCCCGCGGCCGAGCTGCAGCCATCGGGATGCCCAACGCTTCCGGTGGACTCTTTCGGCCCCTCGCGCGCCAGGGTGGCGTAGCCGGGGCCCGCCTGGAGTGTCCGACGGCGTGGGAAGGGTGGCAGGTTCCCGGGAACGGACGACGGGCGCCGCGGCACGGAAGCGGGGTTAGGGGGGGGATGAGTTGGTTGAAGGGTGAGGGGAAAGGGTGAAGGGAAAGCCTTCTTCCAGGGGGCGTTGGTTGGTCTCCCTATTTGAGCTACACTCCCATTTCAGGTTGGATTCTGTTGTGGTCCTCACTGAGTACAGCCTCCAGCTAGAGGACAGTCTCCTGGCTCACCAAGTCAACCCTTCAGAAAACGACCAGGTCGACCTGGTCGAACTATGTCCCAATTTCTTGCTTGGCCCAATAGCACTTGCCTATACGGCACCGCGAAGCGGGACCGCGAAGCCGACCAGGAGCCAATCGTGGCGAAGTAAATGCATCGATATAAAGGCACCTTTTGGAGCCTAAAGAGACCTGGTTTCAGAGTAGATGGCACAATCCCCAAGATTGGTGATTTTATATGGAGCCCCATATCAAATACCATCTGATCGGGTGCCAGTGCCATCGAGCCTCTGAAACGATACTGTAGATGTGAAGGATTCAAGATCCGGACCCGAGGACCGGGGAACTGATCCGGAAGCTTCAGAGTCTCCCGAGTCTCCTGCACGTGTTTGGTTTCCTTTCCAGGAGTCTCCCCCCTCGGCATCACCCGGCACGTGGTGAAACCAACCTGTGATCGTCATTTTTAAGAAAGGCAAAAGTTCCCAACCCCAAGAACCAAGCAGGCTTGGACACACTCCCCAAACAGTTGGCAAAGACCAAGGAAGATGGCTCGCAAGCTGATGTCGATCTTTTTAAAGGTGAGATAATGTAACTTGTGAGGTGACTTTTCAGCAACCAGCAACCTTCCGAAGGATCCCGAAATGAACAACTTGGGCCTCTTCATCATCGGAGCTCTCCAAAAACTCCTCTGCCTCTTCCACTTTGGCCATTGCTTCCGTCAACTTGGGTCTCTAGCCGGTCAAGCAGTTCGGCGCCAGGAAAATGCGCCGGCCGGGGATTTCGGAGAGGCCTTCTGCAGGGAGGAAGTGCACCAGGATCAGGTGTCTTGGTCAATCAGTGAAAGGAGATGGACAGATATACCTTCAAAGTCTTGCAACATCAAGATGCTCGAAAACCATTGAAAAAGAAAAGGATCCTGGAACCTGGGCTTCTCCCTCCGCAGTAGGCTACAGCAAGACTTGCCTTTCGTCTTGCCGCCTTCCTCTCTTTTCGAGCCAAAAGAGGTTCATGGGATGGTGCCAGATGTGTTGATAACATTACCGGAGAGCTGGCACAGCTGAGGCCAAGGCACGAGTCCCCAAGCTGTGAACTCACCACTTGCTGATCTCTCAAAAACAGCCGACCCCGGGTGTTACGGGTGGACCCCAAAAAAGAACGAAGGCCGCCGTCAACTGAACCCGAAATACCTCCGGTCGCATCACTCGTCCGACGGTCCGACGGATCGATGCGGATCGATGCGCGGAGAAACAGTCACGGGACGTGTTCGGACATGTCCAACCCGGAGAAACACCAAAAAAGAAAACGGTTCTGGATGTTCCACTACCGTAAGAACCCCTCAGTGTGCCCACACGGTTTGGGGAATATATCATATCTCTCTCTGCGACCGAGGTGGGCATCCGCCCCTTTGGAGCCAACTGGACCGAACTGGTGGAGCAGTTCACATCGGTTCTAACACCTTAGCGTCCAAACAAACTGTCCATCATCAATTCACGGTCCACCACCTGGATCTTTGGGTGACCCATATGTGACCATCTCATGTGTTCACATCACATGGTTGTATCGTTGCGTGTGAATAGAGTGATGCCCGTGCCCATGAGACCGAGTCTAAGGCGTCCATATTTGCGTCCAACGGAGCAGGTGTTGAATCCCAAAACCGGATTGGGGGAACTGCAAGGCATGACAACTGGAAAGTCTTGCAAGGTATTCTCGGATGAAATCTCTCTAACATATAGAAACTCCAAGCAGTTCCAACGAAAATGCACACCTCGAAAAAAAAAATGACCATTGCATGATAAGGATGATGTGGCCAGGTCTTCAGTTGCGACTGCGACACCGGTCATCCAGCTCCGTCCCTGGTCACTTGTCCACCAAGGCAAACCTGGCACAGGGAACGTCTGTCGAACGGCTGGAGCGGTCCCAGCTGAAAAAGACTCGTCCACTGCGACACCGGCACTAACTGACCTAGGTCAGTTCTCCCAATTCAGAATCAAGTTAGATTACAAAAAAGAATGATCAATTCAAATTCTGAATCACTGGTTTGATGAGAGTCCTCCAAATTGATTGGACTCCAAGGCCACCTCCATGGACATACTGTATATAGACTGACTCCCCAACGGGGCAACCATGAACTCCTATCTTGGGCCCGAAAGCGGGTCCACCCCGAGTGCAGAACGATTGGATCTACCCAGCAAGTGGTTTTTCTGCTTTGGATCGCTCTCCACCACTCCAAAGAAGCGTCAGAAACACGACAGGGCGTCAACGCCCGCGGCCTGGCAGCCCGAGTCTTGGCACCCGGTGTCAACGACAAGAGCCAGTCCTCAGGGCGACGAGTTCGGAGCCGCGGCGCACCGGGGACCGGACGCGTCGGTGCGGCAAGTCTGTGCACCACGTCCGACACCGCGCAGTCGACGGCGAGGCTTCGACGTCCGCGAGGTGCGGCCCGAAAAGGGCGGTGCTTCGAAGGGGAGTTCCGTGGCGCGAGTCCAAAACCGGCGCTGCCAGTTACAAAGATCTCTCTGGAAACCTGAACCCGTCGGATCCCGTCGGACAACTCCCCCCACGAGCTCGGGCTCGGACGACTAAGGCTTCCTGCGCAGGCAGGCAGTCATGCTCGGAAAAGAGGAGATATCTGCACCAATTGGGTCGGGAGCCTGGGAAAGAGGAAAAGAAAATAGAAACAAGTGAGAGAGAGAGAGAGGGAGAGAGAGAGAGAGAGAGCAAAAAAGAACGAATGATGAAAAGAAGAGACATCAAACATGTTGTTGCACGACTCACTGAACGCAAGCTCAATCCTGTGCCATCCGCATCTTAAATGGGGAAAGGTGATGTTAGTTTGTGTCCCTCTTCTCCAGCGGTCCAACTGCTTGTCAGTTGCTCATGTGATGGTGGCACGTGACGGCCCGGATGGCTGCAAACACGAGTGGCCTGGACGAAGAAGGGATGTTATGTTGACTTAAAGCATCTTAGCCGTGGCTCCATCCCTCCATCCGTCCTCCTCCATGTGTACAGGAAGCTGCCTCTGGACCTGCCAAGTGATTCGGTCATCGTCTCGTCTTGCATCTCTAGGCTTGGCTCCAAAGGTGGAAGTGCAGTTGGTCTGAGTCTGACCAGCGTTTGGTGTTGTTCAACAGATAAAACAAGCCTGCCAAGGCTCAAAGTGTCAAACTCCTACTCCTGGCCAGTGCGACAACTAGCACGGAGAAAGGTCCGGAAATCCCTCCATTTGATGAGGTAGAGCTCTCCACCGGTTTAGGCCCGCGGCCAGTGGCCAGGGCCGAAGTTGCCAAAGTGTGACTCTGAAGTGGAGTTACTTCCACTCCAAACAGAGTCCAAAACCTTGACTGTGTGGGTTGGTGGCAAAAATAGGAGCCAGTACGTGGGATCAATGGGGATCAATGATCTAAGACGTAAAGCTTGAAAGGAAGCATTGAAGCGAAGCCACCACCCGTCTGAAGATGAGCGGAGTCTTCCAGTTCGAGTCTGGGAGTTCCGCCTCACCCCAGAGGAGACCGTCCACCTGCTTCCATGCTGGGGTCTTGATCTATCTATCTATCTATCTATCTTGATCTATCTATCTCACCAAAACCAACTGGTCACTTCTCTCATGTGGTCGGTCTTGATCTGTCTCATGTGCTTGGTCACCTTCTCCTTCTCTTCTTCAAACGACCCATGTCCGTCCTCCGTCCAACGTCCAACGTCCTGTCGGCTACGCGGACACCTTCTCGGACACCATGTTCCAAACGACCCATGTCCGAGATATATGCCACCGGGTGAACCAGGACCCACCAGGGTTGGAAAAGAGCCACCAGGGTGAACCAGGAGCCACCGGAGACTCCGCATGCCACGTGGACTGCGCGGCGCGCTTTTGCGGGTGTTTCTTTCACCCACGGACCTCCTCCAGTTGCTGAGGAGTGAAGATCAAGCCCGCCTTCACTGCAGCAACCTGGGCAAACCCGGTGCGTTCAGACTCGAGCTCCAAAGACCTTGTTGTTTTACTCAACACCTTGTTGGAGCTTGTGTAGACACGTGGAGGCAGGTTCTCTTTATGCTGCTTTGACTACTTTGATTCCCTTTTTGGCAAGTGTGCAACAACATGTGGCCTCGTCAACTAAGGGATTGAACCATCAGATACGGCAATGCTGCGACCCTGTTGCCCCAGCCCGGACGATCGCTTGGGGTCATCACTACGACAGAAATTCTCATCAATTCTCTCTGTACAAGCAGAACTGCTCCTAACAAGCCACAGGTGTCTGGGGGATGTGTGCCAAAACTTCTGGAAGATATACTGCACGTCTACAGTAAGGCGATTGGACTTCCACGCAAAGCTCGCTTCGGAGGCGACGGGCTTTAGGCGAACAACCACGCTGTGTTTGATTTTCCCGCCCGTCCAGGCCTGCCATTCTCCAAGCATGGCCTCCACGTCCGACACGTTGCTTTGGACGTAAAGCCTCGGTTCCGATCTTTTTGCGTGGTGCGGCAGCGACCAGACCAATGAGACATAGCGGTGATGGGGGCGTGGAGCGTGATGTGGAGCGTGACACCGCCGCCGACGTGCACAAAACATCGACGTTCGAAGGTGATGTGGGTCTTTGGATGGTGCAGCTTCGATTTCTGGAAAGAGGGGTTAAGTCATCAAAGGACTATTCTCACAGTGTTCCACTCTTCTCTCCCGGCTACTTCTTGGCCAGCCACTTCACCCCAGCTGCCAAAAATGGAACAGCAGAAAAAGATCCCAGAACATCCCAGAACCTCAGAATGTGCAGCAAATCCTTCATTCTTTTGGGGATCAGCCGGGGTCGCCGGTCTTTCTCTCGTCATCAGTCGTCACATGAAAACACCAGATATCCCCAAGCAGGCACCACGTGCCATGCCTGGGTTACGGTCTATCCAGGGCGTTCATTCGGTCTATCGGAGTCTAGTAGTGTCTAGGCTGTCTGTGGTCGCTTGATCCAGTCGGTGGAGACTCACTATCTCAGCTTCACCCCTTTTGTTTTGGCTTCAGTGTTGGTGTCCTGACAAGATGGGGGTCTATATCAGCCACCGACCTTGGGGAGTGTGCCATCGAACCTCTGAAAAACCACTGTTGATGTTGTCACAAAGGGGTGCTTAATGAAGGTTGGGGGTGCCAACCTAATCCACTTGCTTAGGGACTAAAACACCACCCCTTTGTGAAAAACCACTGTTGATGTTGTTCTTTGTTTTGTTTTCTTTCTTTGATCCCACCACTCCTGCGGTCACCGGAGTTCACCTCCACACCGCGCTATGGAGGACCAAGGGCCGTCGTTCAGGGTCGGTCACCGTTCCGAGGCCCCCGAACTGGGCGGCCGTGAGGTCTTGATCTAACAAGCTGAAGAAATCCTGCGAAAAAAGGAAACAGCGAGCTCGGCGAGCTGGGTGAGCTGGCAAGCTGGCCATCCATGCGCGAGCTAAGATCAAGCTGCGCAGTTTGGGGGGGAGGGGAGGGCCGGTGCCCGTCCTGAGGGGGTGGGAAGAGAACGAGTCGGAAAGGAACCGAGTCCAGTGAAGCTCTGGGAGCTGGCCATGCGGCCATGCCGGCGGCACCGGCACCGAAACAACGCGTCGCTCGACGTCGCATCGGTCCGGCATGGGCCTTGGATTGGTTCCGGTGGTTTTCAGGGGTGCCGTATTCCGGCAGCTATGACATGATGCTGCAGCTGAACGGGCAGTAGCCAGTGCAATTGGCCGAGCACAGTCCAAGGTTTGGAATTGCTGTTTTTCGTTGGCACCGCGGAAGACATTGCTTCTGTCCCGGTGTCCACTGTTTTTGGGGGTGGTCAAAAACAAAGAAAGCCTGCCATCTTCGGAGATGCGGAGATGCTGAGCTTGCTTTCGGGTCGCGAAGGCAAGGACCGGTTTTCCTTGGAGAAGCTCCTGTCTCGGGTCAGAGAGGGTATATAGGTGACGAGTGTGGTTGCAAGTGGCCAATGAAATGGCTTCCGATGGGAAGTGGCTGAGAGTATCTGCTGCGTGGATCTACTTTGCCCTTTTTTCAATAGCAGGCGGTGCTCTTTGTCATGTCAGTGCACGGAATCTGACGGTGAGTGGCCTCCGCTGGCAGCGCTACTTTTAAGCCTCGCCTCTCAGTCGTACCCAGAAACCGAGCCTCTTCGGGACGGAGAGCCTCGCCTGTTGTGTTCGGATTCGTGGAATCCCGCGCGGGTTCCCGGGCGACCCGTTGTTTTGGGCATGTGAAGCCAAACCTTTCAGCGGCCGAGTTGTGAGGGTCCCGGTCTTTCCTTGCCGGTCCGTCGTGCTCCCGTGCGCGGGCTCCGTGGAAGGAAAGTGTGCATTTCTTCCTCGGGCTCAGTGGGCGATTGCACAGCTCAGCTCGCACGGTTTTTGGCTTTTGATTTTGCTTGCGGCCCCCTGGTGTCTGGAACCCTCGCATGATTGTGGGCTGAATGAGGAGTTGCGGGGCGCACCGCTGGTCACCAAGCCGCCCATTGGGTGTTCACAACGTGTGGGCATTTTCCTTTGATGTCGCGGTGCCTGGCGGCCTGCATGTCATTGTACTATATAAAAATTATAAAAGGTATTTAAAGAGCTGGTCACCGGTGAACCACCTTCGGCCATGTGCCACTTCGTGCCACTGTGCCACTCACCCGCCTCGGCTTCAGGTCGATCAAACAAATGGGAACGACCCGTTTTTTTTCTGAAAAACAAAACATTAGTAAAGCAATATTAATGGTTGTTCGATGTTGCTTCGGCTATTGAAATCCATTGGAGGGCCCTGAATCCTGGAGGGCCCCTCCCTTCCAAATCGACCAACACATCCGATCAACTCGATCCACACCCGATCAACTGCGCAGCTCCGGACCGGGTCGTCCTGCGACCGGCCCGTCCTCTTGAGACCCGGGAGACCCGCTCCTGCTGCGGCCCCACAATCTTCGGGTTCGAACTCGCCGCCTTCGATGAAACCCATCGACCAACGTCTCCACCAACGAACAAAATCGACGATGACACCCATGGCGCCCCAAAAGGAACAAGGACCCCCCTGTCCAACCAGCGAACCAGGCCACAAGACCTTGGGAGAGGAGTCTTTCGTGGAAGTTCGAAGAGTTCTGAACTCAAAAGGAGATGTTGAAAAATGTCCCTTCACCTACACAGGGGAAGAGACCCCCATGGAACCTGATGGAATGGATCTATTTGGAAGATGATGTTCCTCTACAAACTCAGTGCTTTTCAGGTTCCATGTGGGTCTCTTCCAGGGCATAAAGTACTGATGCCCCAAGTTAGAGTGATGGGATGTCTTTTGGATGGGATGGGGTCCTGGAGAGGTACCAAGTACCGTGGGCGCCCAAATCCGATGGGTCCAGCTTCGCCAGCGTTCGCAGGGCTCACTAGGGACCCATGGTGCCCGAACTTGTCGGTCATCATTTTGCCCAGTCTGCAAACAAATCGATGATCTGATGATCTTCATTTATCACCCCTGGACCGAGGGGTGGCTGTGCATGGCACCGTCGCACCTACCCCGTGGACCGCCCCTTCAACCGTTTCTTTTGGAAGTCAGCGAGACGACGAAGTGGAAGTCAACGGGTCTCCACATGGTGGGTCACGACCCGTCTCCACATTCCACACCAAGAAGAAAAAAAACATGGGCTCCTACTGGTGCGTATGATTCCACCCAAGTAGGAGTCCCTATTCACTGGTGAAAACCAGGAAGATCCGCGCATTCCGCACCAGGACGGAGGAGGAGGAGGATGCAGCGTAACTCTCAAGGATCTCCTGCGGAGTTGGTCGCTGGTCTCTGCAGGAGTTGAAAAAAATCACGTCTGCAGTCTGCAGGGGTGTGTAGAACCCAACATGGCTGCGGTTGGCCAGAAAATGCCACTAGCCCTGCCATCTTGCCGCTTAGAAGGACAGTTTCAAGTCAGAGTCACAGTCAGCTAGCTCCGAACTTTACCACGTTGGCCCCCGTGATGCACATGTGTCAGCATGTCCACATCCACAAAAGGAATGCCAGCTCAGCTCAGCAGCTCGTTGGAGATGTGTATAATCTGGCGATCTTTTTGGTGGGATGCCTATCAACATCTCCATAGCAACAGCAACACTGCCTGGGGCTCTTGGGCCCATCACCAAACGCTGAAAGAGGTGTGGACTAGCAGTGGCTGACTCCTTGACTCCTTGACCTTTCACTCCCAAGAAGAAGATCAACCCCTGAAAAGCAAACCTTTGAAAGACGTCCTCCTCTACAAGCCCACCAAGTTGGCAGGTGCACACACTTTCTGTTCAATCCCTTTTCGTCAGGGAGCGACCCATTGTAGTTCATTTAGATTCGTTTAGCCTGACTTCACTGGTAAAAGCTTGAGATTCTTCTAGGATGTTTCGCCATGCTGCTTGCTCACCTTACTCTTAATTGGCAACTGCAGATACCCCAACAGCTACCCCGACAGCTAGCAGCTGCGACCGACTTCGCACGATCCCATGGAACCCGACCACTCACCGGTTGAAACCCGTTTGATGCGTTGTCCGAAGACCAACTCAGTGGTTGTGGAGTTTTCCATGTGGTTCAAATAGCGAATGAACTCCTTCGCATGTGTTAGCTGGCCCTTCTTGTTGAGCCTTCTAACCGATCGTCAGGTCCGGTCGTCCTGCTGGAGTGCCCCATCTGAGCCGGTGTGGTTGGGCAGGCGAAACCACTGGCGGGGTCCAAACTCAACAGAAGTTGAGTGTTCAGTCAAGCTCATATACCAAAACCCCCTGTTTGGGCCCTGTTTGGGAATTCTAATAGCCCCGAAAAGAGGTTCCTGTTCATTATGCTATCATGGCGTTGATTCCCTGTGCTATATATATAAGCACTCTGATTCTTGGTTTTTACAGTCTGGCACATAGTGGCACAAACCATTGAACACTACCTCAGGCCTCACTTCTCTCAACTTCAATGGCTGCATCAACACCACCAGGAAGCTGGATGGGAAAACACCCTCGGGCCGATCTTCAATCAAAACGCTTTGACCTCTTTGGAAATACCGTCTACCGTCCGACCACCAACCTCCGCGTCAACGACTGAAGATCCGTCGAAGAATCCCGGAGAGTTCTAAGGGTCTCGCCATCTCCACTGGAGTTATCCTCATCCTGGTCACAGGATGTTGCTGAGAGAAATTCAAGCCAAAAGGAATTTCTGTGTAAAGACATGGCACGCGACACGAAAGAGGGCTGCACCAGTTCGTACCCAAATCCTCTTTCCGTGAAAGTGGGATTCGCTTCGTCCTCAAAAAAAAGGCTTCGTCCATCCCCGGAGAAACGAATAAAAATAGAAAAACCTCTTGGATGTTCTTCCTGCAAGCCAAACAAATCCCTTGGAACCGAATGAACAGTTTGCCAGGTTGCAGACGCCGGACGATCGCTCCGCAGGACGTACAGCTACGAGACCAACACGGAACAACGGTCACTGTGCGTTTTCCCAAAAGGGTGTGGTCCTGAAAAGGAAGACCCTGCGAAAAATGGCTCCCAGAATGGGTTTAAGGATGTTTCAGGGAACATCTACAGGAAACCCTCCAATTGAACCAATCCCGCACCCTTCGCAACGGCATGAGACCGCATGCGACTGCAGGATCCAAAAAATGCATGACAAAATAGCCTGAGTCTTGGCGAGCTTCTTTAGCTCTCGGAAGCCTTTCGTGGTAAGAAAGAACCTTTTGTTGGTTGGAACTCCCTGAAAAGTCTGGACCTTTTTGAACTTTTGGGAGGCCAAGAACGGATTAGGACTCGGGGCAAGCACGGCTACGTGCGCTGCCACCCTCCAAGCGCCTTTCCACTGCAGACAACGGAGACTTTGCTAATGTTGTGCTTCAGCTCCTGCAAGCGGAAATTGCAGCAGGAAACTGTAGGGAAATCAAGCGCAGCTCAGAAGCAAGTCCTCGCATCTTAACTTGAACCCCTCCAAAAAAGAGACCTTGTGCAAGGATGTCCTCTTCCAGCGGCTGTGTATGGGGTTCAATCTAGATACATATATATCACATTTTTTTTTTTTGTCCGGCTCTTTTCGATCCGCTGAAGTCGAAGTTGGGCTCATGCCAACAGCTGCCTGATGTCGCCATAGGTGGACGTCCTGCAAGGGCTTCTCAGCTTAGGAGTCGTTGTTGCGGATCCGGGCTCGTTCATGACATCTCTCGCATTCGATCTGCGCTCCGGTCCGTGTCATTCGATGTGAATGATGTCCGTGCCAGAGGTGAGCTTCTAGTGGTCCATGGTGACAAACTTCACCGAGGAAGCGGTTGAAAGATTCCTCTCCAGCTCTGGCAAGCACGTAGCCACGACACAAGGTACAGCGTAAGTACGCTTTCTCGAGGCGCAGGTGATGTGTTCCTGCCCTTGGTTCACCCTGGCTCTCGATGAGATCATGGATGATCTCGAAGCGGGTCTTCTTGCCCTTTTTGACGGGCCCTGCATGAGTGCAAGGTGAAGTCAAGCCTTCTCTGAGCTCTTTGAGGAGGGATTTGGTGTGGTAGCGTTGACGACACAGGGTGCATTGGACTCCAGACCTGAAAGTGGTCCACTGGTGACCCGTGGCACTTGGCTCTTGGAGAAAGCTGCTGAGTAGTGCACGTTTCTGCTGCACCATTGGGACTTTGGCCGGTGTCTCAGAGGAGGATTTGTGATGCAAGAAGTGCTCCTTGTTCCGAAGGAGGGTGTCCATCCGTGTTCCGGCCACACTCAAGACATCCCGGGTGTCCTCGTCAATGCGGCGTTGCAAATCCAGAATTTCGTCAGGACGGGCCAAAAGGGCAGCTTGATCCGCCTTGGACTGGGTGTCTTTCTGGAATACCCGTCGATTGGGATTGGAATCCATCTCCTTGCGGTCAAAGAGGAGCAGTCGAACTTGATCAAAGTCTTCATGTTCCAATCCTTGGCTGATGTCCGGAAAGCGCTCATGTGCTGCCATGAAGGCCCAGTGCTTCCAAATGCTGTGCTGGAAGACAACCACGTGGACCTTGTCATGGATGTGCAGGGAGAGGTGTTTCAGCCCATAGAACAAGGCACGAAGCCTGGTAGCCTGACCAGGGCATATGCCCGTGAGGGAGGCTACACGCTCCTTGGTGAAGACGTTGTGAATGCAGATGGCGAAGACGAACCTGCGATGTCGAGGGTCTTTGGACGTGGGTGCACTGCTAAAGAAACAGCATGACCTGGAGGGAGATTGCAGGCCTCCAAGCCAGCCCAAAGTCCTTCTCCTGTGAAGGTGGCCATGCCGCCGTCAGGGATGTAGAAGATGGACTGAACCATTCCTCTATTCCACAGTTCAGGCTCTGAATTGGCCTGAATGCGCTCCTTCCATTGCTCCGGTAACGGCTGGACACGTCCTTCCCAGAAACTGCATTCCCAAAGCAGGTGTATGAAAGTGAGTTCCACTCCACATAGGGGGCACTGACCATGATGTCCCTGCAAGGTGCCTTGATGAAATGCTCTGATGCCAGTGGCTATCTTGTCAGAAGTGATCTTCTGCAATGTTTTGCTGACCGTCCAATCCAGCTTCCTTTCGAGGTCGTGGCAGCCAGTGTGCCTTGTCAGGCGAAGGAGGCGTTGCCACTGAAATTCTTCGAGGAGCTTGTGCTGTATCTCCGGCCAAAGGGCTTCCAGGCTGATGTGGCAGTCCGGAATGCCCCCATATCCTTTCCTCGTCCACTGCTTGCCATTGGAGATGTCAAAGTCGTAGTCCAAAAGGTAGGCCTGGAGGGCTTGCATTACGACCTGCCACCGGTATTTGGCTTTCTGAAGTTGCTCCAGAGCCCCTTTCCAACTGACCCAGAAAAGGTGTTGGGCTCCGGCATCAAAGGAGTGCAGAACTCGCCACACCGTGTGGATGTGCTGAAAGATGATGGAGTCACCAGGATCGCTTTGTCAGGATGCATGTCAAACACCACATCCACCGAGCCAGTGCGCTGCAAACCTAGGCCTCTGGCGGCCATCACTCGTAGTTGCTGTCGTCTTTGCGGCGCCATCCCGTTCGCTTGCGCTCCCCAGCTCATCACAGGATGGATGGCCCCTCGATGTAGACGATATTTGATGGAGGTGCGCAACTTGAGGCGCACCATGATGCCAGCTCGGCCTTTGCCTTTGAGGAAGCGTTTCTTGATTTGTGTGATGCGTCTTCGCTTGGAGTTCGTTGCATCGATGCCCAAATCTCGAAGGACATTGTGATGTTGAGGATCATCAGCCTGGAGAAGGGCATCAAGGGCTTTGCCTGCTTCCTTGCTGCTGGTGAGAAAGCCTGTCTTGTCGGTGTTGAGCTGCAGGCCAGCGGCTTGCAAGTGTCGTTGCAGAGTGCGAAAGGCTAAAACGGCTTCCCGGGCGGCATACTCAGGATCGGTGCCTTTGATGTCGTAGGAGACGTCGTCGACCCAGGTTTGCAGAAGAACAGCTGGATGTTCCTGAACCAAGGACCGCAGAGGCTGGTAGAGAACCAGCTTGGCAATGGCAGGAGCCTGAGGGCAGCCCTGCAGGATGCCATTCTGATAGTACTTGGGGTGCCCGGCGATGCCCTCTGCTTGGATGAGCCTAGGTCCTGTGTAGAGGTCCAATGCCAGTTTGAGATGCAATGGTGGGTATTGAAGGACTCTGGCAGGCTCAATGAGATGGTCCAGCTGAACAGTGTCGTAGAAGCAAGTGAGATCAGCCAAGCAGGTGACCGTGTGAATGCCGTGGTGCTTGCCAATCTCAGCCTTGAGCATGCGGCCAATGGCGATGGAGAGGCAGTCTTTATGCGGTCTGGCATGGTCCCATGGCATGTCCTTGTCCAGACCCAATTGCCACTTCTGCAAGTCGTGCTTGCGGTAGGAGTTCCACAGCCGATAAACGCATGAGGTCAGGGCGATGGGCCTCTCAATGCGCTCATTCTTTGGGATCGTCACGATGTTGGTGTGTCGCAGTTGTAGAGGTAGCTCTGCCTCCTGTTCCATCTCCGTGAGGAGCTTGGCCAGTCGTTCCACCGCCGGGTAGGGAAGGTGGCGAAGGAAGTCGTAGGAGATGCCATCAGGACCTGCTGCTTTGTTGGGAAGCTTCCTCATGATCTTCTGCAAGAGGCTGGAGTCAACCCCTTTCTGCTGTAGGGCCTGTGCTTGGGCTTCACGCCGCAAATCCATGAGTCCTCTGACTTGTAGTGGTCCGTCAAGTGGCTTCCAAATGGCTCCCCATTGTTGTTCTCTGGCTTCAGTGCGAAGGGTGGAAGGGAGATTTTGGAAGGGCCTCTGCCATGCATGATCTTTCTGACGTAGGCTGCGAAACAAACCACGGAGACCCTTGTCATGTGCCTTCTCAAGCCATTCACGGAATTCATGATTGGTGGCACTCAGCATCTGCTGTTGTGCAAGGTCCTGCTCGTGTTGGATGATTTGAATGGAGACTCCCAGGGAGAGAGGTGCCCCCGAAGATCCACTGGAGAAGTTGTTCTTCCAGGTGTGGTTGATCAAGCTCGGTGGAGGCATGTTGTGGAATCCGCCTGATCATGTCCTTGAGGTCCTGCAAGAGGCCTGGGTAGCGCCCATGGGAGGCCAGATTTAATCTGATGCCCATCTTCTCCCAAAAGGCGGCACTGCCTTTCTTCCACACTCTCGGTTTGGACGAGCTCGCCAAAGGGGCAGTGTAGAGCTTGATGTGAGAGCCTCGTCCTGTGACAGGTCGCTGACGGTTCTGAGTAAGGTACTTCTCAGTCTGAGTGGCCCAGCGCGCAAGGTCAGAGCCGAGTCCCGTGATGGTTTGGCCAAGAATCTTGAAAGGGCCATCATCTTCAGCAAAACTGGTCCAGAGCTGCTGAGGGTTGTAGTTCCGGGAGATGGGAGGAAAGCGCTGCAGTTGTAGCACCGGTTTGGCTGCGTGTCCACAATCAAACTGAAGCGCAAGAGCACAGTGCGGTTTCCAGGGAACCTCCCAGTTCGCCTCCAAGCGAAGTGCCCCGGCAATGGAGGTAGAGGCGAGGACAAAGTCCAGATGGCTGCCCTGAAGGGTTGTGGGCCCTTGTGTGGCCAGGATCTGAGCGCGGAACTTGCTGGGGATGTGCGTGGCGGCCAGGTCTTCCGGAGCTGTTTGCCAATCTCCGCCAATGATGAAGGGGGCCTGAAGGTGGTCCAAGAACTGAAGGAGTTGACCCAAAATGTCGGCATTGAGTGGGGATTGAAGCGATTCCCCCGTTTTGAGATAGAGCTGAATGAGATGGATCTCACAGCCATCTCGTTGAAGGGCAAGAGCCGTCCAGCCGTTTCCTTGCTGAGTGTATGTGTGGACGTGGTGAATGAGGTGTCTGGTGGCATGGATGGTGAGGAATCCCCCGGTGGATCCTCCATGGCCCGTGGGCTCAGCTGCCACCCCGTGCGTCTTCCAGCCTCGGCTGGTGAAGTATTGTTGCGCAGTCTCCATAGCCTTCTGCTGGAGGTGAGTCTCTTGGAAGAACATGATGGTGTCTCCCTGACCCCATATCCAGTCTTGCACCTTTTTGCCAAAGAAGGTGACGTTGCTGAAGGAGAAGTGAAGTGTTTCGTGACAAATGCGGGCTTTCTTGGCTTCCTGGCCAGTTAGCTCGAGGGCAGTGTCAGTGACCATCTCGTCAGTGGGAGCTAAGGTCAGCCAAACCTGGGAGATTTCAGTTCTCTGCTGGGATGTGAGATGTGCGATGGGCACTGGATAGGCATTGTCATCAGCCAGCCAATAGACATTGTTGAGGGCCAAAATGGCTTGGTAGTGCCCGTTCTCATGCGAGGCCCCCTGATGGAGCACGAGTCCCACAACCTGGTAGGTGGCATAGTGGACATGTTCTCCGTCTTCTGAGAAGGGGATGTTGAGACGAGTGGGAAGGTCCAACTCCCGGTGGTGCTTGGTCCAGGTGCCGTCAACAAGGGTGGATCTCTGAAGGTTCAGAACCAAGCCTCCCGGAGAGCCATAGAGGAACTGTCCTCGTCCTTCGTCAGCCCAGTTGTTGATCAAGGTGTCCAAGGAAATCTCCCCCGTTCCGTCCGGGAAGAGGATATTTTTCCCTTTCTTCGGTGTGGCCTCTTTCGCTGCAATGAAAGAATCTCCCAGCAAAGTAGGTGCTACCCGAGAAGGTCCAATCGATTGCAAGAAGTCAGCTGCGTCCGCTTGGTCGGCTGGTCCAAAATGTGGCCAGATGTGGGCCATGTCGGGGAGATCCGGGAGTGACTGAGGTTCACTGCCTGCCAGAAAATCTCGAACGGCAGGATGGGTGCGGCCCCAGGCTTGAACCATGTCTTCAGCGAAGGCGCCCGTCCAACACCAGCATCGCCAGGGTGCGTTGGCGTAGCACAGGTTCCTGGATTCTCCAGGATGGTGGTCAAGCATTGGGAGATGATGTAGATATTGTAGACACTGTGCTCAGCATCACCATGAACACTGAGGTGCTTTTGTACCAGGTTTTGCATGCGGCGAAGGTCCATGAGGAGCTGTTGACCCCCATGAGGAGTGGGGTGCCGCCCATAGTGCAGGCAAGTGCGGATCATGTCTTTGCTGCAAAGGTCAAAAAGAGCACGTTGTTCAAACGTCAAAACATCGTCGCCATCCTCCATGTTGAGGATGGAGGCCAAGGCCCGCACAGCTGAGGTCCCGAATCTAACAGTCTCCCGAGGGAGCTGTTCTGAGGTAGAAGAACCCGGTGCCTCAGTTGGCTGGCCTGGCTGATCCAAAAAGGCGGTTGACGCCCCCCCCAACACCTTGAGCTTCGTCAGGGTGCGACGTTGCGGTCCATAGGCCACCGTGGATGAAGAGAGGCCCGTGCTTGAGCCTGAAAGATTGAAGAGGTCAACCATAGATGCATTACCCCTGCAAGATGGTTGAAAGTGCCCCATGTCATGTGCATCAAGACATGACTGCAAGCCCCAAGAGGAGTCAGAGGCCTGAGACGGAGGCCTCTCATTAGTGCTGTTACCCGCTCGATCCGTTGGAAGCCAAAGCTGTCTTGCGTCGTTTTGCTTCTTCATCCAAAGCTTCATCCTCAGCTGGTGGACGTTTCAGCATGAGGCTCAATTGCTCCTTTTGTGCCTGTGTGAGGTTCACGCCGAGGGTCGTAATGAAACCGGCTACGGCCTCAGGCATTGAATCAGCCATCTCCGTGTCAAGAGGCTGCAAGGCTTGAGCGCCTTTAGAGGAGCTGACCTTTGTCAGGTAAGCTGTACTGACAGTGGTGAGAGTGGCCTGTTCCTGCTCTAGCCGGGTCTGCAAGGCCTTCATCTCGTCAAGCAACTCTTGGTAGAGTTTCTTGGTGTTGTCAATCTTGTGTTGAAGGGTCTGCTTCTTGATCGAGATGTCCCGTAAGGTGGTCACTTGCTGCTTGAGGCGCGATGCCATGTCCTTCTCAGTCTCCGGCTGTGGCTTGGTCAGGCGCTCGACCAGTTCTTTCACTGGAGTCGGTTCAACTTGGCCTTCATGTCCTCGTCTAGAGTCGACCAGGCTGGGGCCAAGATGTCAGCCGCAGACTTCTGGAGTCTTGCCTGTCGTGGCGGCTTGCTGGCCGGAAGTCCTGGAGGTGGAGAAACACGTCGTGTGGTTTGCCATGATGGCCTCCGTCTGTTGGTGCCCTGAGCATAGCCTTGAGATGGCATAGTCCAAGGAGTGGAGCACATCCGGCAGACATAGTGAGGCTGTATGCGATCTTCCCAAATCCAGTTGTGGCACTCCGCTGTCTTGCAGCATTGGTAGGCTCGGCAGCCCTTCCAAGCCATGAGATCCGTGCCAGACACCGAAGAGGACACCAAGGAAGTAGGGCTCGGTCTCGCGTAGTGTGGGAGAAGATCCAGTGCCGTTGATCTTCAAAGATGGGCCGGGCTTGAGCAGGAAACAGCTCGAGCCTTGAGCCATATATATATATATGTATCACATTAAATATAATCTATATATATATACAGGAAGTGGCAGCTGCAACGTCCGACACGTTCAACATCCAACATGAATGCAGACCTGGGTGTGAAGTGGGGGACGCGAATTCCCGGGCAAATCTCAAAAATCCAGCTCCCCATGTACCGTTGTAGGATCAAGTGTGGAAGTCTTTGTAATCCTGAACCCCTCGTGTACGACTGAACCCCACGTGTCCGACTGCTTGAGGCAAACCCACGTCACATTTAGATGGCAAATGTTAGCACCATCCAAACAGACAGTCCAAGCAGAGCTTGGGTATCACTGATCAGGGTCGCCCCTGCATCGCTCGCCCGTGTCTTTCAACTCACTTGAAAAATATGAGTCAGTGGGATAAATCATGCCCAAGTACAGGTGGAACATGAAGATATTTGGAAACCACCACCCAGCATCGATGTTTTCATCTCCTGCCCCTTGTGACAGCAGCTGTCTGTAGTAGTAGAGCGGTCCTACAGTAGAACCCCTGGTCTATAACTCCTTCTTTTTGACAGGGTTTAGGGCCTGGTTGGTGGTTTTAAAAAAGAATAGAGGTCATTCCAGAACCTGAGAGGCCTGATCAAACAGATCTCCGAGAGCTATATCCGCGGTCCACGGCGATCGGATGTGATGGGAGGCCTTGTAGGAGATGTAAGGCTCATTTGCTGGACTGTTCTGTGTCACAGCCGCCAACAGCTTCCCAAACCTCGGCACACCACGCGTGAGCTTCGCGTGGCGTCTGGCACAACTGGCACCACCGGCAGGTGGAGCACGAAATAAAGGGGCGACCCCCAAAAAGCTTGGACTTTCAAGTTGGCCAAATCATCTTAGAGTTCCTCTACGGAGTCAAAGAGTCAGGTCATTCATGTCCAAGTAGAGTTTCAGGTGGTCTGTAGCCCGCAAAAGCGTCAGCAATTTGTGCTTCCTTTTCCTCAGAGACGCTCTGAAAGGATCATAAGTTACAGACATGTTGAACATACCCTAGGCGGCCCTAGGCCCTAGGTTCCTTCTACTCACCCAACCCCTCACCCAACCGCACAAACGCCTTCATCGCACACCGAGGCACCGCATCGTTCACCCAGCACACGGCCCGAGAGGCCCCCAAAGCCGAACCGACCCGCGCGCTATTTCTTCAGGCGCCCCCCCACGAGGAAGGGGTTCGGGGCGCCGCGCGCAGATGGCTCTTCAAAACTCGAAGCTTGAGCCAAGCAGGATCGGGTGGGCCAGGAATGGCGAAGCGATGACTTAGTATGACATGCAGAGTACATGGTCAACCAGGGAAGACCAGAAGTGAGGTTTGCACCGGGGAAGACCAGATTCCAGGTCCACGCCTCAGAGTCCCGTGGCTTAGATCTCTTCCACACCTTTCTAGCAAAAAATGGTGGAAGGGTATCAGCACCACCCGGCGCGAACCAAGAAGTGCATTTGCTCACCACGGTGGCTGCCTTACAGGCCTTCTTCGCGGGAACGTCATCTCCAACTACCTTCCTTCGTAGCACCTGGTTTAAGCAAAGTCGAAAACCCTTCCCCAAGAGACATCATGTTTGATCACAAACCTTTCGTGAGCCCCCAAAAAGGCTCAAAAAGCAAATGTCCTCCAAAAATGTATTGGATACGGTTGGATACATCAAATCTGTTTCCTTTTGGGACCACTACAAAGGTGTTTTCCAATACACTAACTGTGCATCACCCCTTAAACCTCAAGTGCTTCCACCCCAAAATCCCAGATCCGCCGAGAACGGACAACCACACTGTAAAACCCAGGTTGGGCTGTTAAACAGGCCAGGGCCGGGCCGTGAAGTAGCGGTGTTGCTGATCGGCTTCCAGCGCCGTTCTCGTGAGACCCATCTTGAAGACCTCGAAACACACACACAGCGGACTCGGTGTCCACGTTCTGGAGTGGACTTGAAGACCTGGTGCGCAAGGAATGTCTTTAGGTATCTGAGAAAGTATTTAGAGGGTCATTCCCTGATTCTCACTAAGCACCTGATTCTCAGCTTGAAGACCTGGGTGTTGCACCAGAATTCTAGATTTGGTGCCCTACAGTATGGTCGCCCCTGTGAAGCACCAACAGGATCGTTTCTTTCCGACATATTCTAACCTCCAAAGCTCCAAAGGCTTTTGGGGCACCGTAATTTTCAGGACTGATTTCCACGGTACTGCAGACTCTTGGTTAAAATCCCCCCCACTGGGATTGTAAAACCTATTCACGCTTGTTGAGACAAAATCAAGCTTCTGCATGATGTCGCGTATCAAAGCTCTTTGGCAGACCTCTTCGGGCGCCCCAACCTGCAGGCGGAACATCTTGTCTTCCACCAGTCCACTCATAATGAGCCGATACACTCGCACCTAGCGCGACGAAGTCCCCATGTGGCTGAGACGACAAGAGACTAAAGCGCTGTTTTTAGGCATGGGGGGCGAGCTCTTTTGGTGTGGCTTTCTAGCTGCCGGCAGCGGTGGCCGCAGGGTAGACTCACAACGATGGAAATGAAAAAAAAGTTGTTGGCCAACTTGTTGCTTGTAGATATCTTTGCCTCCAAAATCCGCACAGCACGTAGTAGGATGCGCTTGAAGAATCAATATTAGATCCTCCCTCATTCTTGGAAAAACCGTCCACCATGATGGACACTGAATGTTCAAGAAGATGGGAAGAGATATGGAGGAGAGACACTCTGACTCACTCGAGTCAGAAGACATCTTTACAAACAGGGGGTGCCATCCACGTAACCACCATGTGATGTGTTCATCGGCGTGGACACTGATCCCTAAACCGCCCTGGTTCCCCAAGAAGGCCTCCTTGGTCTGCCCGATGCGGTATGCGCGATCCACGGCCTGATAACCAAGCCCGGAGCAGAAACCAGGACGGTGAAGGGTGGAACTGCATGGAAGCATATGGAACACCAAGTGCAAGGATGTGGTGAGTTCTATAGTGCTTTACTATGCTTTACTTACTGAGAATCCGAAGATCGGCCAGCATCGCTTTGCTGCTGTTTGACTGGGCATACGAGCCAGGCAATGCGCCAAAGAACATCTGCCACGTTCCGACTACGACTGACTAGCCCTGCCTGTGCATCGGTAGCCGGATTCCATGCCTGCAAGACGCAGTCGCGCATCATGAGAGGTGTGGGGGGGGGACAAACCCCACAACCGTTTCATGAAAGAGACTGAAAGTTAGGTGATTCATTATGGCCTGCCAAAGCCACTACTAGCCCTTATGGAATGGCATGAAGTTTGATATCTGTGGTCTATGGTCCAAGAACGTCCAGCTGAGGGACATAGCAGTGCATTGGCTTGAGGCAAAAAACAATGCAAGGCCAATGTGCATTTCCAGCTCGTAGACTTCCCCCCTTGTCACCAGTAGATTCTGGTGAATCCACGCCAAATCCTCATGGACTCATGGCTGGCACCTGGTCCAAAACACCTTACAAAACCTCCAATTGAGCTGTTCAGATCTTCCCTGCCCCCCCCCAGGAAAAACATCACGAAGTGCGCTCCAAACATGGGAACCTCTGCAAACTAATTGACGTGTTCCCCGAATCCAACGAATCCCATCTCTGCCCATCTCCCTCTCCCCAAAATGCCCCACCCACCCGTAACGCCGCTCCACCGCTGAAAACGCTCGTGGCTCAGCGTCGAGGGGCTGGATCCACCAGGACGACCCGATCCGCTGCCGTGAGGTTCAGGCCCACTCCACCCACCGCGGTGGTCAGCAGCATACACCTCGGATCCCGGACTCCCCGCGAGACCGCCGGCGAGGTCGGGGGCGAAGAGGTGGGCCAGTGAGAGATGGGCCCAAGAGAGAAGAGTCATGTACCAGGAGCCACTCACTTAGGGAACAAACACCACCCCTTTGTGACCCCTGGTAGATTTATAGATCCAAGAAGGGTGAACTTGGCTTGTCTTAAGGACCATCTGTCGCATTGTGAGCCACGGGTTCATGCCTTACCCAAAAAATCGAGGTGACACCACGTCGCCTCCCTTTGACCCCCGAAAATGCGCAGCCGTGGGGCTGAAATCGCTCGGGCTGGTTGTTGAACTTGGCCACCTGTGTTCGCGAAGCAGCGCAAGCGTGTGGACCCGTGCAGGCTGCTTTGGAACCCGAACTAGGTGACTTACAAGGTGGAGCAAAGCTATGGAAGGACTCATCAGCAACACTAAGACTCTTGGCCTCTGGACGGTGAGGTGCAATCCAGTCCAACTTCCCCGAATCCCAAACAAAATCCCAGAAAAGATCCCAGAAGCTGCAAACGAATCCGGAACAATGGACCGTCTTCACTGCTCCGCATCCAAAAGGGTCTGCGCTCCTCTCTCCGTCTCCGGGCCTTCTCTGCACGGGCCTGTGCTTCGGTCAACCCATCGATGCGTAAGCACCGGAGGCCTCGGGCGGTGGAGTGCTGAGTGAAAAAAGCCACATGGAAACACCAGTGAAACTCAGCGATTTGGGGCTGAAGGACATGCTTCTTGAAAAGGTTTAAAAAGAGTAAAAGAATGGTGGTGAAAAGGTGTATATAAATGGTGGCGCAACAACTTTCAACTCCCGAACCCGAAAAGTCGGGTCTTTTGCCCTGGACACACGTGGAAGTGACTAAGAAGCAGTGAGAGGGCAAGCTCCCATCAACAGGCAGGTCCATGTGACCGTTGGATGCATGGGTGAGGTGGTGTTCAGTGAGTTCAGCTATCTTTCTGTAGACATATTCCCACGTCCTCACATCAAAACCGCTCCTCCAAAACGGGATCTCATCCGCCTGTCCAGTCGCCAGTCTTTTGCCTGTCATCCTCCAATCCAGTCACTGTGCCCATGCCGACAAAACTCTGCTGTCAGGAAGCCATTGGGTTTGAGGCAACAGATCTGAACCAAGTCCAACATCTTCACCTCCGCCACTCCGCCACATCCGCGGCAGTCGGGACGCGAAGAGTCGAAGTCACGCGAGGACGCGAACGTCTCACGGAGGTCAGTGGATGAGAGGTCTAGCCAGGGTCGAAGCAATGATGCAATCTGCAAAACTGTGAGAGTTTACACAGGTTGTTTGCCTCTCCTTGCCGGGTCATCTAAATATGTTATATAGAATTCCAGGTGGCCACGTGGGCATTGCTGACCAACCCGGATTCTTCGTCATTATCTTTAGCTGTCAACCGCCACGCAGGGGAGTTGTGCCATTCCAGCTTCGCTGCATTGGTCACGGAAGAAGTCTCAAGTTTGGCACAATAATGGACAATCTGATTACAAGAAGTCCACGTGTTCAGGGGATTTCCACCACCCAAAATCAGCCATTCTCCCGACTTTTGGTGGACTCCGGCGTCGGGGCAAGGGCCAACCCGACCTGCGTCTGGTTGGTCCCATGGGTCCGCCGGGTCCCGGACGCTCTGGGAGAAGACCAAGGTGCGATGCCCTGTCCGCGGTCACGGCAGCAGCGTGGTTCCACGGGCGGAAGAACAAGAGTGAAAAAGAGTGTAATGTTTAACATGTTAAACACAGTGGCGACCGCGCCACACTGCTCACCCGTGTGAGGGTTGCCGGGCGGCGGAGTGTCCGAATGGTCTGCGGTAACATGTACAACACAGCTCACGCCGTGCACGATGCGCCGCACGATTTGCAAGTTGGTTAGGGATAACATGTGCTAAAAAGGGAAAACATGGTGGGTGAGGTCTCAAATTTAGGTTCAGTGGTCGCTGACGGAGGTAGATATAGACATCCTGAAAGACTCCAATGGCCATAGAAAACAGAGCGCGAGAGAGATTGCTTTTCCGGTGCAGGTGCTCACAGCTCAAAACTGACCCTGGTAGTGTTGATCAACCGTGCTCAAAGTGCACGATGAACTTCGAATAGACATGCTTCTCATTGGACACCACCACTGCCCCGCCATCGTCCTGTTGCCGCTGGGCTTTTGCTTCATCAGAGTTGATGTGTGCCAAAATGAGCTGATTCGAGCTGGTTTTCATACACTGAATCATGGAAAGGCCTGCTTCACAGCCAAATAGATGCCTTTGCCATACACTTGTCCATTGTTTGAATTTCTTGGTGACATGGTCCCAGAAGGCTCTTCGCACATATTCGCCGCAAACAATCTCAACTTTTGTCACCCTCACCTTCTTGCCAGTGAACCCGCTGTTTTGTATCAGACTGGTCTGCTGATACATGCGAAGGAACTGGGACTCAGCATATCCAAAGGTGCCTTGCATGTAGTGCCGCGATTCTACAGGAATCGTGAAAACTTACCCTTGATTCAACGGAAACTCTGCAAAGCGCGATCGTAGATCAATGGCTTTAGATTAGTGTTTTTGCCCTTGTGCAACAAAACCAGATGCCCTTGCTGCGAAAAATCCGCAATACGATCTTCACCAACCTCAAACCTATGAGCTTGACCTTTCTTCTCCTTTCCCTGCTTCATCTTCCAAGCTTTTGTCAACTCTTGATTTAACTTCACGCCATTCTTGTCAGTGTCTATTGAACAAAGAAAGTCTCCCTTTGCATCAACTGCGACCCAGCATGTGTTCACTAGATCTGCCTGAATGTGAAAAGGTTTTTGCCCTGGTGATCTTGCAAATCCTTGAGTCTTTGCTGTAAGAAAAAGTTCTTCTTGGCCAGCTCCTCCATGGTATGCTCCCGAGTCACGCTTCACTTTGTAGCTCAGCACATGGTTCCACAGCTCGCGGGTGTCCTGCTCATGGCGCCGGCATTCCTGACACTTTCCTCTCACTGCACATGTCTCTGCAACTCGGCCCCCTGACAGTGCCTGACGTGGCAGGTTGATGCGAGGAGCATTGGCTGAGTGCCCTCACAGACCTTCTTCCATTCTGGTGGAATAGAATTGCAGCCCCAAAAGGCACCTGCCAAAGCACCTGCCAAAGCACCTGCCATGCTCGCCGCAGTGTCAGTGTCTCCACCAAGAGATATGGCGAGATTGATGACATGCTCAAAGCCGCCACCCCTTGCCGCCACATACACAAAAACTGCCAATGCAGCCAGCGTTGTCTCCTCAGCTTTCACGCCGTTGCCGAAAGCCCTTGTCACCCGGCTTGCAATTCACTCTCATCCATTTCCCTCTGAGCTTGTCTTCATAGCTTGTGCCCTGGAAGTTGTCCTGCAAGTAATCCAAGAAGCCATCCACTTCAAAGCTACTCACGATGACCTGGTGTAATACATGGCCCACAGCTAAAGCAAACAACTGTGCTCCCTGCACAGCATCCTCATGAGTATGGGTTGCACGGGCTGTTTTAACTGCCAAGTCCATTGTTAGATCCGGGGCACCAAAGGGGCACCATTGCCGTGCGAGCTCTGTCCAGCATGTTGCTGCCGGGCGAGCTACATCACCTTCATCTTTTTCTCCTCCTCACACACTTTCTCATCCTGAAACATCTGCCCCATTTCAATGAGCAACTTCTTCATGCCCTTCCCATAGCCGCTGCCATCCCTTTTGCTGAACTTCTCATGGAACCTCTTGCACAACTCGTGCTCATCAACAACCCCCTTCACGAAGAACTTCTGCAACACTTGAGGCCATCTCTGTGTCATCGGTGTACTCGAGGGGAGACCAGGACCAGTGAATTCTCTTCCAGGGTGTAATCTCTGTGCATTTGAGCCTTCTTGATGTCAATCGTCTTCCCCCAGCTCTGTGCTTCGAACCTGGCACCCAAACAATCTCCAATGACCGCACCAACCATAGCTCCGGTGCAGTGATTGTCTCTCTAACTTGTGAGTACATTCCTACTGTCCGCAGCCTGCGATCGCCGCTGTTGGAGATATGCCACTGGTAGCACTGTGACCACCGGAACGCAAGCCCATGGACGTTATCGTTGCGCTTGCACATCGAATACCTCTGCCGGTCTAAACCGCAAAGAGCTACAAGCTTTGATGCGTTTTGACCTCGAATCTGCGCTGGGAATCCAAACATCAAGTGTGTGCTAACACAAGAATTGCTACTGAACAAGTGGAAACTGTCCCAACCGTAAATCTACACCACATTTCCGGCCGCCAATCACTCTCTCTGCCTCTCCTAGCGCCACCGCACAAGCCGGACTGCGGTGTCCGCGTCCGTCGGGCGCGCGGACACCGCGCACACGCCTTTGGCAGCCAGGTCGGGCAAAAGCTTCGACAGGCAGCGGAGCTTGGCACTTTGCTGCAAGACCTCCTAGTTGCGAAGCCGCGAAGGGAGGACGGGAAGGCTAGAGGATTTTTCGTGAAATCTATCTATATTGTTGGATAGTTCAGAGCATGTCAGACATGCTGATCTTTGCTGATGTGTTGATGGAATCTGAACTGAACTGTTTCTTGCTGGGCTATGTTCTGGCTGCCATATGCCATTCATTCGATCCAAATCCTGTGGACTTCTACTGGACAAAGGTCACACCGTCAAGCATGAAATTGCATCCTGAGACGTTCTCTACAGTTTCGGATCTTAACCCTCGATCTCTTTATGTGACACCCGGTCGCCGAAGTTCAACGTAGTCAAAGCCGGTTTCATGTTCCAGCAACCACGTGGAGTCTGCATGGAAAACTACCATAATGTTGGTTTTTTGGTGCTCTAAGGCTCTCACACACCACCTTCCCTGTGCCTTGAAGACCCAGTCCATGCCAACTGAAAGAAGAATCTTTGAGGATCCAAGTGAATTGGCTGCAAAAACTTCTTTCATATACCAAGGTATTCGATCGCCAATCAGCACGTTTGACTCTTGATAGCTTTGCGTCCGGGCGTCAGGACGTTCAGGTTTTGATCAAGGCCCTACATCACTGAGTCCTACAACCGAGAAAGGAGTATTTCGGGTAGGTGTCATAGCTTGGTGTGTGAAGTAATGCAGAACGAATACTTTTTTCCTCTGCCGCACCCAGAAAGTTAAAATAGCAATCAATAGCCAATAGCAATCAATGGAAGATAGAGTGACGGGTTTCTCCCCTGGTCAGTTTAGGGAAGTACACAACCGCCTCGGTCTGTGGGGAGGGTGCTCCATGTTTAGACAGAACCATGTATAGCCCCAACCATGTATAGGGGAGGTAGCCAGAATGAAGGCTTGACCTTGCCCATCCGAAAAACAGTGCTTGAACAGGGGAGAAAGCCCCTCACTTGATTCAACGACCAAGCTGTCGAGTTCTGGTGACGTACCTCGCGGTCCAGAAGGAGTGGACCGAAGTGGCACCCAACGGAAGACCCAGAATTTTGTGGACCGAAGTGGCTGAGTGGGCTGGACACCAGCCAGGTGGATCTGGCCAGGTGGATCCGAGGGGAGCAGGCTGGGATGGGTTCCCAACTTGGCAACCAGTGTTTCAATGGTTGGCTAGCTGGTTTACGCTGGCTAGGCGGTCACAAACCTCGGACTTCGTCCAAGTCAATGGTTTAATTTGTTGCTGGGATGGAGTGTCCTTTCTACCTTTCATTGGTTTCAATGTTGACATCCAGCTCCAATGACCACTCGACCTCCAGAACATCACGCGAACCCGAACATCCAGGCGCACCTGGCAGCTCCTCGACCTGAAGAACATCCGACGATCTGGCGTACGATCCAATGGATTCCTTTGGGTCAAAACGCCCGTCATGCTGGTGAACCTCTCAGTATGTATTTAGCCTGGTCTAGTGCAGAAGAGTGCAGGATTTTCGAGGGGTGATCCGAAAAAACGACCGTTCCAAGGAGTCGAAACTCCAAGTCACCTGAGTTAGCTTTGTGCCGTCACTGTTGGTGAAGAAGAGAAGCACCAGCATATGCTGGATGTTTGTTTCGTGTGGCATCGGCTTGCTCTCTCAAGCAATCATGGAAACTGAGCATTTGCAAAGGGAGGAGATCCATGAATGATGCCGGGGATGCAACAACAGCAAGCCATCAGGTTCGAACAACAGCTAGGCCTCCCTGCTGGCTGAACATCTCCGAGATAACTACACTAGGCCTTTGTCTCTTCTCAAAGTTTGACAAGGGTGGAATGGCCCAACATTGCATCATCCCACACAAAGGTGTCTGGCAAAAGAAAAAAGAGACGTACCCTCCCATACCACACCGCCAACGTTCATGTTCCACGTTCCGTACCTCCCTGCCATGTCCAGTCCGTTCATCTCCCAGGTGAAAGTGTCTCTCACCGTCTCTCAACCGTGCTTCTCCCCGCCCTGTGTGGACGTCGCATCGGACGTCAGCATCCGGCCCAAGTGGCAACGTCTTCAGCATCTCGTCCACATCGGGCGACGGAGCCGCCTCACCGCTCTCGTCGCCGCTCGGAACGGCCTGGTGCGTCGCACAGAAAACGACGATCGAAGGCAAGGCAAACACCCAGCCGACCGGCGGACGAGAGTTCCTCCGGCGACAAGTAGTTGTTATCAATGTGATACTGGCAGCACTACCGAAGGCGAAAAGAAAGAGGTGAGGTCCACCACGAATCGAAAACACAGCAAGCTCTTGAGCTCTCAATCTTTTCCAGCACGTCTCACGGTGCCCAAAGGTCGGGGCAGCCACCACCTATGGCGGCAAAAGGGTGCGTGACAGTAGCGTCGCGTGATCAGTGATCACGATTGGCAAAAGGAATTCCTAAATGGCGGCGGGACTGACCAACGTCAACATGATCATGCTCATGGCTCTCATGCAAATGGCACAGCTTCTGAAATGGGCGAAAGGTTTTTGACAGAGGTCGGTCCCTTCGCTGGATGAATTCCTGCCAAGTGCAATCAGGCTCAAGTTCTACCTCAGACATGTCGTCCAAGCGGTCATCCATGACTTTCGGCTTCTTCTTCGCTGCCGTGAACTGAGGGTCATACTTGACGTTCCAGCACTGACCACGGAGCATGAACAGCCTGAACTGGTCCTGGGCGGAGGCTTTGGTGAGGCCATCTGCTAATTGGGCTTCCGATGAAACCCAGAGCAATTGCGTGTCTTGTCGGACCATGTTCTCGCGAATGGCGAGAAGTTCAAGAGCTGAATACTTCTCCTTGAGGCTGAATGCTGCTGATGCACCTTCGCCTTTGTGGTAGGCATCAAAGGCAGACTTTGCGTCTATCACCAGTGCGCTCTTCACCAGCTTCGTCGACTGCTCTGGACACCTGGGGTTGAAAGGATGTCCAAGAAGCTCGCTCCACAAGGCACGGCAGAACATCACCTCCTGCTCGGCCTCACCAAGTGCCTGGAGCTCTGCTGAAAGAGAGCTTCGAGCAGTGCGATGGAGCTTTCCACTTCGCCAAGCAATCAAGTTCACAGGCGAGCGAACACCGGACAGGATTTGCTGATGGCATAGTCCAACAACATAAGCTCCTGTACTTGACAAGTCTGGCCGATTGGCCACAGCAGCATCGGACCATCCGATGATCACCAGCTCTGAGTCTGAGGCAGCTTCCAACTGTTGCACCTTCACAGACAAACCACGCTGTGCAAACACTTCACGGACCAACTTGTTGATCTGCACCAGCACGTCCTTGGACTCTTTTCCATGCGGAAGCATGGATTGAAGAAGTGAAAGTTTTGCCGCGTGCTGCGGCGCTGTTTGACTCACTCTCCATTGGATCGCTCCAAGAACTGCCTTGGCTTGCGACAGTTCTGATGGTGTCACATGGGAGCAGGACTTGTCAATCTCGATCTGCTTGATCTGCGAGGCATATTGCTCGTGGCTGAGGTTGAAACCATAGTTCGCCTGCTGATGTACTTCGACACCACAGTGAATGTAGGGATCAGGTTCCCACGGGCTCCACTTCAAAGCTTGGTGGAAGGTGGTGAGCGTCTTCATCCATAGCTCATTGCTTTCATTGCCGGTCACGATGAAGTCGTCGACGTGACTGGCCAGAACACCTTGAACCACCCCTTGAGCGTCTTTGCAGATCCAAACGCAAGGTTCGCACACCAGGCGGATCAGACCACACTGAGTCGTGGCGATGCGATCGACATCTCTGTACCACTCACGTGGTGCGCTGACTAGCCCATAGGCTGCACGGAGAAGGCGTACAGCTTGTCCTTTAGGAACTTGCAGTCGATCACCAAGCTCATCAACTGGAAGTGCAAACACATCACGAGATTTCTGAGACTCGGAGCCCTGCAAAAATGCTGCCTTCACGTCGGCCTTGAGCGTTCGCCATCTTCTATGGCAAGCTAGGTTGAGGATCAGCTGACGGCTGCGTCGTGCCAGCGTGGGAGCGGCCTTGTCCAAACTTTCGCCATCAGGGTCAGAGAAACCCAAAATGACTATTCTTGCTTTGGCCTTGACCATGCCCGCTTTGTCAGGATCCTCCATGCTCTTGAACACTAAGACCCATCTCATCTTCATGAGTCTGGACTTGGGGACTTGCATGCCGGCCTTTTCCACCACCTTGTTGATTACCCAAGAATCCACCTCCAAACGCTTTGCCTCCATCATAGCTTGACGCTGAACTGCGTTCAGTTTGTGCCAGGCAATCTCACAGCCCTTTTGCACTGATTTTGCTGTGAATTTCTTTGGGTCCTTGAGGATGCGTCGCCATTCTTCCTCAGACTGAGGAGCTTCAATGACCACTGACATCACCATGTCATTCGAAGGCTCGGAGCACCAGCCAACCAAATCAGGGTTCTGGTACTTCTTGGGAAATTTTGCATGATGTGGTCGATCTTCTTGCTCATGCTTTCTCCGAGCTTGCTTGAAGCTTGACTCAGGCATAGACGCATCAGAACCAGGATCAGGTGGTTGGAGAGGATGAAGTGGCATGTACTGCGGGTCGTCCAAGAGACGTTCGATGTCCAGTTCATCACTATCGTCGGGGTGCATCCCTTCTCGGAGGGTTGGATCCATGTGGACATCACCGTCATCAGGTACCAGCTCTTCAGATGACTCGCTGGCACCGGAAGGAGTGTACTCTAGGTCGTCCTCAGTCTCAATGGCCTGTCGCTTTGGCAACGGTGGGCGAAAGGTTTGTTTCCTCTTCAACTCAAAACGTTCTGCCCTGGATGAGGTGAGATCTTCAAGTGAACCCTTTTGCAAAGAACTCGTCAGCATGCTAAAGGTCCAGGGTGTAGCCATAGTGTTGGAGGCATTGGCAATGATCAACTCACGCTCACTTGCATGCCTCAACTGGTCCATGTGGGTTTTGAGAAGTCGCCCACAGCTGACCAACCACACTGTGCTTGAAGGTGCACAAATAGTGCCAGTCTCATCTCTTCTTGTCTCTGAGGCGAGAACACGAGCAGGGCCAAACCATCTGGCAATTCTCATCCTCGGCATGTCGACATCTACATTCGAAGGCGCCCTCCGGGGCGTGCGATGTCTCAGGTAGTACACCAAGTCGCCGGGGATGTACTGCTTCACTTTCTTGCTCCTGGAGTTCTGAGCTCTTGACAGTCTTGCTGAGGCAGTCAGCTTGTTGTGGAGATGTTCAGCTTCAATGCGCAAACGAAGGTTCTCAGCCATCTGATGACCAGGAGTGGCCTCAGAACAAGATGCTGCAACATTCTCCTTGGGGTTCTCTGAGCGGCCAAATGCCCATTGAGCCGGAGCATAGCCACCAACTCTTGTGACGTGGTTGTGAGCTTGAACCATGGCATAGGCTGCCCTCTTTGGAGACACTGGCTCATTGCGAAGGAAGACTTCCATCTTGTGGCGTAGTTCACCAATTCCTCGCTCCACCAACCCAGTCGATGAATGATGTTCGGCTGGTGTGTGGATCATATCAATGCCTCTCTCGGCGCACCATTGAGCCAGTGCAGTTCCTCTGAAAGCTCCCTCAGCGTCACAACGGAGTTTGGAGGGATACCCAAAAATCTGGCACCAACTCTCTTCCAAGGCCTCAATGGCCTCACCAGTCGCCACGTTCTCGGACTGGTCATCAGCATGACTCTTGATCTCTTTCACCACGGCAAACGAGCTTGCCTCGTCCATGAAGAGGATGTAGTGATACACCCAGTTGGCATGTCGGAAATAGAACCCATCCATTTGAAGAGTTCGCCACAAAGTTTCTTCCCGCTCAGTGGAGACCTTGGTGAGCGGGATGGCTGTCTGGCTTTCAAGACATTCGGGGCACTTCAACTCCATCACGGCAGCCTTCAGTTCTTCACTGGCACCTCGGGCTTGAAGAAGTTTCAACATGGCTCTATTGTTGGGGTGTCCACAAAGACGGTGCAGCTTGAGGGCGGATTCCATGAGCCGCTGTAGCTCCAAGGGAGTCATGCGAGCCAGTGTTTCCTTCTCAGGTTCTTGAACAGCACCGATCATCTCTTTGTCCTTCATCATGCCTTGAGCTGCAAGTCGACAAAGTTGAGGGGTGTAGTATGCTGACTGCTTTGCACGTTGCCCCAAACAAGGAACATGGTGGTGTGAGCCATCACATTCTCTCTTCAAACTCGTCAAAGCATGGGGCGAGGTGCACATGAATCGCCAAGGCTTCTTCACAGGGCCATCTTCCGACGAGAGCCCAAACATGCAGCCATCTCCAAGAACTTCATGAGCTCGGTTCACTTCAGCGAGCTCTGCCCAAAAGTGCTCAACTTCCGGAAGCCTCCAGGCTTTGTTTGACTTCGGCCATTCCCAAGCAATTTCTCCACCTTGGGCCAAGTGTGCGCGTAGTACACGAAGTCCTCCACGCAAGACCTTTCTCGCATGCCGCTTTCTGTAGCGGCTTTTGATCATTCCTTCTTCAGTTCTTTCGTTGAGGGCCTGAACAGCCGAAGTCGGGCCACATGGAAAGCTAGCCCAAATCCACCGAGGTCGATGAAGTCGAAGTAGTTCCAAAGTTTTCTCCCTCTTCTCTGGTCAAATCACAGTGGTTGTGCAAGCCTGCACGGCCACCGTATCCTCCAGCTGCATGCACAGCTTGGATCAACAAGCTTTCGGGGCCACAGCAAAGTTCGAGCACGTCCCAGTGCTCTCGTGCAGCAATGCCTCCATGAGCTAGGAAGATCTCGTCATTCTCCGTCACCAGCTCATTTATAGCTTCCCATGCAAATGCTGCGTCTTTGTCGCTCAGCCGAGCGTCATAGGGGATGTCCTCCTCAAAGTTCTCCATGGCAGGTGGTTCAAAGGACTTGCCATCGGTCATCACCGGGTCATTCTTGAAAAGGTGGGCATTCGGTGGAACTTTGACATTCGGAGGGACCTGAGCATTCTTGAGGAAGCGGACATTCTCAGAAGTCAGGTTATTCGAATTCAACTGGTCATTCGATTGGATGGCATTGTCTTCAGACATGTTGTCATTCTCAGTAGCGCCATCCCTGACCAGGGCCTCATTCAACTCGATGCGCCGGTTCGCTTCTCTGGAGATGTCACGGTCGACCACGAGCGATCCTCCCGGTCGGCATACTCCACCTCCTCTGCTGGCCGCTCGTTGCGGCGGGATTTGCTCCCAGGAACCATGGAGAGAAGTTCCTTGTCGGTCGGAGCTGGACTTGGCACATACTCCTCCTCGTCGTCGGGGATCTCGACCACTGAGCTTGGAGTCCGAGGAACAGGAGTCTGATTGCTGCTGGGCGCTGTGGTCTCGTTGGAGTCGGGAGAGCGAGGTGCATATCCCGCTGCTGCCTTGCGAGCTCTGATGTTGTCCAGCTTGCTCATCAGCGAACGTTCTGCTCCATCCAATCCCACCGCCTGAGTGCGAAGCAATGGGTTGTATGGAGCTTTTTCTTTGAGCTCCTCCACCTGTCGACGAGTGTCCTCTGGGATCGGACCTGCTTGTCGATGAAGTCCTGTCGCCCCGAACGCCGGGGTATAGGACAGGCGAAGCTTGCAGCCACCGTGCGACTCTCGTCGTACTTCTCCTCCCAGGTGGCCAAGGACTTGGTCTTCTTCTTGTCCATCTTGTCGCCCTTGCCAGAGCTCTTTGAGGGCTCTTCGATCTTTGCCTTGGCTTTCGCCTTCGCAGCAGCTGCTTGCGACATGGCTGACCGAGTTGATGAGGGAGGCAGTTGATGCAAGGATGGCCAACGCCTTCCAAGACATATCCGTTCTTTGAGCCTCTGTGTCAACGGCGGTGGATGACGAAGAGTGATCATGTACTCCAACATGTTCATGACGCACTGCAAAACACTGTGACAAAAACTCTGCAGCATGGGGTTCATCAAGACTCTCAAAAATCTCCAACTCGTGAGGGGCAAGAAGTGAGGAAGGAGTGCAAACAAACGAATGCTCATGCCGATCATGGTGCACATGCCGTTCATGAAGACTGTCACCTTCACATACCTCAGAGCCTTTCTCAACCATGAAACACGACGGGCTGCCAGGCACATATTGCTGCTTTCCAGAGAGCTCTTCAGTGAAAAGAATCTTGGTACCCTGACTCAACCAATCGTGAGCGAGGTCCATGAGAAGGTGACCGGATCCACTCTGTTTCAGCGGAACCAACAAGGATGCATCGATGGCAGTGAGCACCATCGCTGAACGTGAAGTATCTATGATTGCTCCAAGTCGGGTGAGGGTTTTGATCCCCACCAACACTGGAACTCCATTGGCCTCCAGGGTGTAGATGCCAAGTGACAAGCTATGCTCACCTAGCCGCTGAGGCAGCAAAATCAAAGACTCTGACTGCTGCGTCATTCCATTTCCAAACTTGAAGGTCTTCTGGGGCACAACGACGACTGTGAAGTCGCCCGAAGAAGCACCTGCAGCAGCACGCTTGTGCATGATCCATTCCAAAGCGCTCAAACCACAAACAGTTTCTGTAGCTCCAGTGTCAAGCACACCGAAGCCTTCCATCTCGGGCGAACTGACTTCACCCACCTTCATGACACTCAAGGGCCTTTCAGGCTCGGACCAGGCGTGGAAAACAAAGGTCTCTTCAAGCTCTTGCGCCTCCTCAACCATGAAGACTTTTCCACTGCCAAAACCTTTTCCACTCTCCGAGCGCTTGGGACAAGAGCGAAAGTCGTGATCTTTCGCCCCGCAAATGAAGCAGCCTGAGTACGAAGGAGACCCAGGCTTTCCAGCACCATGCACTGCCAAGACTGGGGATGCCGTGGAGGAAGACGAGAAGGTAGGACGGGCATAGCCTTTACCTTTCTTTCCATGGCCTTTGCCTTTCCATTTCCCTTTTGGAAAGAAACCTCTGCTGGCTTGTTTGGCGGCATGAGCACGTCGACTGTCTTGAAATGTTCTCATCTTCTCTTCGTAGGCCGCATAGGCCTCCACCACAGGCTTGGCTTCATCAGGTGAGCTCCACAAAACTGAGTTCCAGGCTTCAGACTCAGTCCATGACCAGAAGACGCCGCTGGCATCCTGGTGGTAATACTCACCATCACTTTCCAAGTTCCACCAGACATAGGCGCCTGGTAGTTGAGGGTCTGCTGCAAAGAAACCATCTTCCTGGGCGTAGCGGTCTTCAGTGTCAGGCCTGGATGATGGAGTGGATGGAGTTTCCCAAGCCGGAAAAGCTTGTTCCAGGGTATTCGTTGAGAGCCAGTGGACATCGTTCTGCTCCAGGATGTCCTCAGCATCAGCCTCCTCCGTCAGGAGGATGCCCCATTGGTCATCTTGCTCAATCCAGAAGGTGTTGCGATGCTTTCCTTTCGAGTGCCCTTTTGGACGCCCTTCTCTCTCTCGCTCAACCAGGCGAAGCTCATCTTCAGCTCCTCGTAGGCCACGTTCAACATCTTCTGCTTTGAGCGAGTTCCCAATGCTTGAGAGCACATTCAAACGTTGAGCTGCATTGAGGGCGGACTTCCTCAACATGATCCAACCGATCAACTCTGTGGGCAACACTTCTGGTAGGCCGAGGTCAAGATCATCCCACAAAGTTGAGAAGTCTTCAGTCTTCATCTTCACTGCTGGAACCTCCAGAGCCGCGAGAGCCTCTGGAGGGAGAGGCATGGTCTTTGGTCTTGCCTTTGCCACGACTCTTAGGAGATGAAGCAGGTCTTGAAGGTGGTCGTCCAGGTTCTTCATCTTGATCTTGCTCTTCCTCGGAATCATCCTCAGCAGCTGGTTCAGGGCCGGATCGTGCTCGTGACGAAGCATGCGAAGGAGCTGCACCATCATCCTTTGGATCTGGTTGATCTCCTCGAGCACGACGTAGGGCCCGCTGCAACTTCCTATATGCTTCTCGAACCTGGTGACACCAAGTGGCCATGGAGGTACCTGGAGTCCTCCTCAACCTCAACAGCAGGTTCTCAGCTTGAGAGCCTGCATCAGGGATTGGCACTCTGGCCAACCGTTCCTCCAGGAAGGTGATCAAGTAGCGTGCTCCTCCAGGCTGGGTCAGAAGCCGATGGTCTATCTCTTGAGTGACTATCCATGCTCGGCCGGATAGTTGTGACACCAATTCAGGTCCAAGTTGAGGTCGGCGCCGTTTCCTGGTCTTCTCATAGGCCAGGCGAACCTTGCGGACATAATCTGGCCAGGAACTGAAATCTCCGTCCCAGTGGCAACGAAGGGACGTGTCCTTATCTTTCTCAGCCGGTCTTCACCTAGACAAACTCAGGGGTCAAGTCAAAGGCAAAGGGGTAGAGTGCAAAGGACCAAGCTAGGAACAAAGCGCTAGGTAGACCTCCTCAGGGAAATAGTGCTAGCAAAATGCCACACCAAGATCTTGTAATCTATGGTCTCAATGACTCGTGCACTGAGACTCAAAAGGCGTGCAGCCAGTCCACAGCCTTGCCCTGGATCTCCTCAAAACTCGTGCAAGGATGCCCTCTCCGGACGGTTCCTCTCGAGGGCAACGGAGCTATGAGGTAGCTCCGCTACCAGTGTCAATGTGATACTGGCAGCACTACCGAAGGCGAAAAGAAAGAGGTGAGGTCCACCACGAATCGAAAACACAGCAAGCTCTTGAGCTCTCAATCTTTTCCAGCACGTCTCACGGTGCCCAAAGGTCGGGGCAGCCACCACCTATGGCGGCAAAAGGGTGTGTGACAGTAGCGTCGCGTGATCAGTGATCACGATTGGCAAAAGGAATTCCTAAATGGCGGCGGGACTGACCAACGTCAACATGATCATGCTCATGGCTCTCATGCAAATGGCACAGCTTCTGAAAGTAGTACTTAGTACGAAGTAGATGCTGCCGGATCATGGAAACCCCCAAAAGCAAGAGGATGTTGCAACAAGGATGTTGGGAAGCCGTTGCGCAGTTGCTGGCCACAAACCACCAAACAATGTCATCATGCAAGAAATCATGAGATCGCTCTAAAGATCTAGACCAACAGAAACCACCAAACAAAGTCTTCATGCAACACACCATCAAAATAAACTGAATCAGATCTACACACTCAACAAATCAACGGATCTTTTGAGATCTAAGATGCTTTGTTGTGCTTTGAATCTACACACCATCCAAAACACCAGCGACGCCTGGTCGCCGGCGGCGGCCTCGGCCTCGGCCTCGGCCGACGGCCGCGTCCGCGGCGCGCGGGCGGATGGCTGGATGGCGGGTTAGGTGGCGGGTTTTTGGGTGTCCAAGGACTCCAAAACCCCAAAAATTCTCTCCACAACTCTGAAAAAGAGAAACGCAACGACCCCAAACCTCGAAAACCGCAGCCTAGCTTCTTTTTGGACTCAATCCACCATCCACCCAAAACTCTCGCGGTGGTGCTAGATGTGTCTCCTGGCCTGGATGCCACGTTTCTCCGGTGGGGGTCTCAAGAGAACGGAGGCCCTGCACAAAGTATTGGACAAGTGGCCCCGCCTATACAATGCACAGTCCAGTGGCTTCACGCTATAGAGGGAGGTTGTGCAAACCTGTTGGGATATGCGCCACCCACTCTAGAATCACCACAGTTGCTATAGTTACATTAGGCTGGCCCTTGCTCGATCTTCATCAACTTCCCCATGCCATGCTTCGCAAGGCTGTGGCCCACACATCGCCAGCAAGGACCTCGTCCTGGCAAAAACAACCGCTTTGTCCAGTCAGTGCTCGGGCATGGAGAAAACACCGAAGGATGCCCAGAAGCTCCACGTGCGTTTGCGCCAATTCCTTACGGATCCAACACTGCGTGGTGTTTTCTGACGTCAAAAGACCTTTGGGGGTTCCTCCATGTTCAAGAAAACTCTTGAATGGCAAAAAGTTGGAAACAAAATTGATGTTCCGTCATTCTCCAAAACAATTCAATTGGTCGATTTGGTTCAAATCATCAGTTAGAAAGTTAGAAAGAAATGGACAGCTGGCAGCCAGCCAAAAACGGCTGCAGGGTCAGAGGAGGCTGCCAGCACCAGGATTTCAAGACCACTTGGTGATGCAGCCGATGATATTGGAACTGCAATGGATGGAAATCCACGTTCGGCGCCAAATGGCCAGGGAGAAAGACCAAAAAACCTCTTGGTGACAGGGGCCTGAATGGCTGCTGTCGGTGACAGTGACAGTGAGTCTCTTATTTGGGCTATATATTATACTTCATGGTTTAGTTTAGTTGCTCGTTCAAGTTGTTGAATTGAAGTGTCAATGGACTGTCATAGTCATATCCACCAGGGTGGTCTATCTGCTCTCTGCAACAAAGGGGCGCACCTGGCTCGAACGGTCCGTTTCGGGGCCCGATCCCACCGGTGAAACCCCCCGGTCCGCCGGCTCCACTTCGGAGGGCTCAGAGAGTCCAGCGGAGGCCTGGAGGTGGGTGTGATTCTAAGATACTCTTAGATACGCGTTTACTCCGAAAGAAATTCTTAGATAATTCTTCTTTGATAATCAGATATCACTCTTTTCACAAATACTCTTAGAAAACAATGATGAATATCATATACCAAAAAAATAAACGTTTGATTCTACTTGGGTGAGAAAGATTGAGTTTACCCTGATCTTACCATCTGGGTGATTTGTATATATATACATATTCTTAGCATCTGGGCGATTCTATGGTGAAATCACGATCTGTTTTGCCTTTGATTGTTTTGTTGAAGTCTTCTTGCCAAGCATGGTTCCCCTGCCATAAATTTCAGTGAATATGGTAAAAAGAACGATTGAACCAGAGTCCCGTATCTTCAGTTGGAGAAACAAACACCTCCTTACAGACACAGAGTGTTTTACACTCTCCTTCCCCTTCCAGCAGGGCCCCAGCCGGCCCCAAACCTCCTTCCGACACCGACACCTTCCAACCGACCCCCTTCGCTGTTCGTCTCTCCCCCGGTCTCCCAGCGGTCGGATCGACATCGTTCGAACATCGTTCGAACATCGACCGGGTTTCCCATTGAAGAGGAAGAGAGGAATCGTGGCGTCGACCGGGTTTAGATGGTTTAGCATCTATGTTCCTTCTTGACCACTCGAAATTGGCTGGACCCACGATGGAATGTGCAAGACAGAAGCAGGTGAAAGTAGCAGGGATCCATGTTTAATCATGGTCAGTCGGACGAGGCCATTTCGCTCCAAAAGTAGGCACCCATAGGCACACACCCCTGGTCAACGGAAAACCTCTCTGAATCTCACATCCAAAGCACCGTTTAACATCTGAAGTGAGACCCAATGTTCGTAAGAACTGAGACCAACATGTCGCTCCGTTCGGATCTAGGACACTGTGGCCGCCTACGACTGAAAAAGGATGTAGAAGTTCACCCTCTCCCCGACTCTGCGACCGAGGCAGAACAAGAACCATCCGATCTCCTGATCGTCCAAAACCCCTCGATCTGCTGCGCCTCGGGCTGTGCCTCCTGCGGCACCGTGTCTTGCACCTGCCCGGAGTGCTGAACCAAAAGTGGATGTTAGCCCAAGCAGGTGCGACAGGAAGAACTTGGATCGCATTGGAAGAACTTTAGAACTTATAGATCCCTAGGAATCCAAGTACCTTCTCAGAAGTCACCTGGACCCTTCAAACCCACACCAAACACCTTCTGAGAAGGTACTTGGATTCCTAGGGGATAGGGTTACGAACCTGAACTCTAGTACAGGTTCCTTCTCCCGGTGGTTCCTTTCAGCCACAAGTGGCGGTTTTAATTCCTCAATGCATCGTACGGTGTCGTGATGCTAGCTCTAAACCCTCAATGCATCCAATGGGTGTCAAGGCTGTCAAGGTCATTCAAACCTGTTGACAACTGCGACAGCTCAAGGCACCCAAAATGACTTCCCAAACGAACATAAGGAGGGACACCTGCTCAGTTGGAATAAGCTCCACAACTGCTCAAGCTAAAGCCTAGCCAATTAGCATCATCTCAAACGTCGTTCTTCTCCGTTCTGGTGACTCTGCCTAGCCCGCCCGAAACGGTCTGGTGTGTTTGACTGACCGGTCCCGTTTCACGAACCGGTCAAGTGCCATTGCGCCTCTTTGAGCAGTTCGGCCCAGTCCTTGACTTTGGGGATCTGCCTCACTATCGGCTGCGTAAAGCGAGTCAGGTCCAAGAGGTCGAAGAGGTCGACTCGGACCACCAGGTTTTCATGCCCTAGGCTTCCAACAACCATTAATTTAATAGGCTTTACCGAATCAACTAAGGATTATACACTACAAAAACCAGGTCAACCATTTTTTTAATGGTCTTGGAAGTCTAGGGATGGGATACCTTTGTGGTTTGGAGCTGTTCACTCGACAGACGGGCCTATCTATCATGGAGAGCTATCTCATCTCTTCGCCAAGAAGGTCGTGAGATGCCCAAACAAGGTTGTTTCGACGTTCCCGGTCCCCCGAGAATCCAAAGAAACCTTGTTTGGCCCCAAAAGAAAACCTTAACGATGGGGAGTGGTCGATTTTGAATGGCAGGTGGAGTCGTTCATGAGTCATCGGAAGTTTGGAGGGTAAAGAGGAATAGATCTTTGGCGGAACGGAAGTCTGTCCGGCACAGAAATGGGACGGCCATCAGAGTCCTTCAGCTTGAGCAAAGACCGTCGGACAGTGGCAAGTTGCCACAAGTGAGGGTTGAAAAATGAGGATCCCCACATTCCTGACATAGCAACAGTCAACCGGGCAGGCTTGGAAAATGATCAACCCGGGGGAAGGTGATGAGACAAAGCCACAACCTCCCAACCACCAATGATGCAGGTCCCATGGCATGATTGTGGTCTGAAGGAAAGCTTTGAATGAACCCTCTAATGATGTCCTTTTGTGAACAATAGAGGGGTGAGTTTGGTCCCATATACCTATTGGTTGTACACTTAAGGGTATCCCCTCTATTTATCAACCAACCCATAGCAAAAGGCCAACTATGAAATCCTGAGGATCAAACCCAAAGGGAAGCGCCAAAAAAAATGACCCCGTTCTCGCCTATTGGTCCCAACTTGGAGCCGAAGGTTGGCTGTGCAAAGTTGGAGTGTTTCAGGGTTCCTGCATTTTCAAGGTTGCCTGTTTTTGTTCATCATGAAGGCCCTTGGGCCGCCATCAAATCCACCCCCAAAAAAGACTGCACCTGACATACTCGACATGTCGAATACAATCCGATACTCGACATGGCAAGGTCATTCAGTCCTTTGTCAAACACAGCCATGCTATCTTGGGAACCTCCCACACCATCTCAGCAAGTCCGGGCTTGCGGACAAGAGCAAGAGCGGATGGTTGCAGAGACGCTTCAGCAAACCGATCGCGCGGAAGACCTGTGATCAAACGATCAAAGATCTGACTGGGAGATCTGGGGGATCCTGTGGTTTTTCGTGGCAATACATTCAGTTCAAACTACCAACGAAACCCCGGTTCAGCCGGGGGTGGCCCAGAGCGGCTTGAATCTAAGGCTCTAAAGTGTTCACTCCTCAAGCTTCGAGCTCTGAAATCTGCCGAAACCGATGGGCTTTGTTTGTTCAAAGGTGTGCCCACTGAAGATCTCACACATTTTTTTCCGGAAAGATCCCCTGGCTCTTTGCCTCGTCAGAAAACATCACTGTATATATTGGGGTTTGCTGGTCCAAAACCTACATAATAAATCAGAATAAAGCTATTTTTGTGGCTTAGTTTCGGTCTCTCCTTGTTCCGAGTGTGCTTTCGCGTTTGGTTTCATCGCGTTCTTCAAAGAAATGAAAAGAACAGAAACCGGGAACAAGTTCGGTCGCTATCCCTTGGCTCTGATCAGTCATGCACACGTATGTACATATGTATGTTGAGCCAGCGATGCTCAAACACACCCATCACCGCATCTCCATCAGCCTCGATGCCAAGCTTGGACTTGTTGCAAGCTTCCCGAACCACCTCGCTCTGTTCCAAGACCTCCCGGCGTTCTTTTCGGTCGTCCGGTCTGTGCTTTTTTCGTTCTTCAGGTACGTGTCGGCACCATCCGGTCGGACGTGTTCCTGTTCGGAGCACGGACCCTGCGCACGGCCTTCTTGTACATGGCCGCCTGCTCTTCACTGGGATAAAGCCAAACCTTATGGAGTGCCAGAGCAATCTGCGTTCGTCTTCAGCAAAAAGCTGGCGGAGGACCATCCACATGACGGTGGAACTACGGAAACTGTCAATGCTAAAGAGCTACATCATCCACATCCACCTGTGGGTTAGGTCATTGTGGTAGTTTGATGACATATATTTCAAAAAACAAACACAAAAGTTCTCCTAAATTAAAACTTCAACTCCAGCTACCTACACAGTTCTGGCTCTTTTCTTTGATTCCCATACCTCGGATCCTGCATGGTTCCTCTCGTTCGGTGAGGCTTCCGGGCAATGGTTTCTTTCTTGCTGGGCAACTTCTTGACCACCTAAGGACGCTGCTGCACAGCACGCTGTGCTGCGGACTGTACATGTTCAAAGGCACGAACACCGCATCCAATTTGACCTGCAGGAACTTCGCTTGTTAGAACACCTCGCACGAATCGAAAGTTGACACATTCCAATGACCTGATCTTTCTACTTGTGTCACAAGCGTCGCAACAAAAAATACATCGTTTGGTGTTTCACCCTGTCACAACCAATGCGTGAGGAGAATCTCCTAGGTTTGAATCTCAAGCAATCCTGGTCTGACAAAAGTGAGACCTCTGGGTGCCCCTGGCTCCTTCAACGTCCTTCTCTCCAGACTCCTGGCCACGCCACAAGACCAACTGGTGAACAGACCGGAACCGGATGGAAGGATGTCTTACTGTCCAACAAAGGGGCACGCCCTCCAACCAGAACCCGAAGTTAGGCTTAGGCTTCCTGAGTTCCCCCCCTTTTCGGAGACTCCACGAGCTGTGGCCGAATCATTCGGCCTCCATGTCTACATCCTCAGCATCCACTTCACCTCGGGCAATATTGAAAAAAGAAAATGCGAATGGTGGCGGATTGCGCCGTTGCCGTCGAACGTGTTGGTGACCAGTGTGGAACAGAATGCAGTGCCATCATTCCTGAGGTAGGATCTGATCAGAGGCAGCTAGTCTAGCTGCTTAGCTTGTCCCCGGGTCCCCGTTCAATCATCTGACATCAACGCACGACGCAGTACTATAGAATGAATAGTATCCGGATGCTCGGGTAGCTCCTCAGTCTCACACTCAACGTCTTCAGACATGCCTTCTTTGTAAATGGAAGGGAGTGATGGATGCTTTGAACAGATCTGACGCAGATGCAAAGTTATGCAATATAAATAGGGACCTACAGGAGATCCCAAATGAATGTCCTTCAAATTCGGTCATGTCCGACAGATTAGACGGATCGAAACCACCAATATCATTGCAGAAGAAAACATTGCAACTCACCTCCTCCGCACAGCAGGCCAACAAATTGTGTGCAAGAAAGACCCACACTCCGCCCCTCCGCTTGTAGCGCCCAGCTCCAAGCTCCAGACTGGCGTCTCCCATGATGCCGGTGCTCGTCTTCGTCCGGCGAAGCAGGTGTGGAGCAATCAAGGCCTGCGCTCCGTCACAATATGGATAATTGAATATATATATATATATATATAGTTACGAGTCACGAGTATGAAAAATATATTTGACAAATTCAAATATGTGAAAAAATGTATTGTCATGCTATTGTCATAGTTGGGCCAAACTGCAGATGGGTTGCATTCTGATGCTTTCCTGATTGTTCCAAAAACCTGCCCGTTGATCAGATAGGACCTGCCCCCCCCCCCCCGCGCGCTGAAATCCCTCACCCGGAGCTGTTCGGCCAGGTGCTTCTTCAGCTCCACCGCCCAGACCTGGCCGTCTTGAGTCGAAGGGGAAGAAGGGAGACTCAGGGAGACCTCCCAGTTCTAAAGCTGTGGAAGAAGGAAGACAGACCAGTCTACCCAGCCAGGGCCAGGGGAGGCTTCTCCATTAAAATACATGAAAATACAAACTTCCCACACGAATCCTTTCGACGCCTCGTCCATTGCTTCAGCTCTTGACTCAATGACCACCGCCCAACCCGTGATCTTCACCCTGTGATCAAAGTGACCGAAGTGATCGAACGCCCAGGGCCCAAACCCTTCGCAGCTTCCGCCGAGCCGAATTGCGCCGAACTAACGCCGAAACCCCAACCGCTCCTTGGCGCCGCGGACGCTTCCCCGGTCGATGGGATCGCTAAAGGTCTTCACGAACCTCGGTGCTGCGGCGCTACTGAAGCGCTGAAAGCTGCTGCGGCGTGGGTTTCACAGTGTCGGCATCGAAAAGGGCATCCCGTTTTGGTGTTCACCTGACGTGCAACAAAAAAGGAATTAGGATCTTGATGATCTCAGGCACGAATGGCGGCATTCAGGCCACTGTTGGAGAGTCCTGGTGGAAAACCGATATATTTGCAAAGTTTGGCCGCAGTTGGGACCGTAAACACATGGCTCATGTGTTCTTCGCCCGAGCTCTTCGCAGTTTTCAGGCGTGAATCCATGTGCCCTTGTTGAACCAAATTCAAAGACCGGAAAAGTCGGAAACTCAGAAGGAAACTCTAAAACGTGGTCCCCAAATAGATAGGAAACTCACCGTTTCCGCATTTTGAGTGGGATGTTACTTTTCTATGACAGGGGGGTCACTTCGACCTACCCAGAGAACTGCTACACAACAAGAGGGTTTCTGGCCCATATGCTTCGACCTACCGTGCCTCGAGGCTTGGTAACAGGCACGTAAAGACACCTCCATGGTTGCCAAAGAAAGCACGTGTTTGGTCCAAAAGCCCAGGAGGTTCTGAATCCAAATGGTCCATACATGTCCATACCTTGAGTAGATCCCAAACACCCTGGGCCCAGTGGATGATGATGGTTAGTAAAGGCCTTTCTCTAAAATAGTGATACTTGTTTACCGACTGTTACAGATAATAGGACACCCCCAATCCATACCACACCCTCAGAGCGACGTCGCACTCCGCCGTTCGGTGGTTGTTCACGTCCCAGTCGCGTGGCGTGGTTTCCCAAGAGCCCGGGTTGCGCGAAGTCCATCAGTGCCCACAGGTCCTGCACATGGAAGGTCGTTCGGGGAGAAAGCATATATCGATGCGAATCTTTCCCAAGGGACGGCAGTGATATGAAGGACGTCTTTCTACTAGATCTGTCCTAGCAGCCTCTGTCCTAGGTGTCTGAAAACCCCAAAAACAAAAACTCCTCCAATCGACGGCCGAGAAGACATGACGACACGAAGCGACGTCGCCACTGACCCCCACGGCATCCATCGTGGCGGTCAGTGGCGCGGCAGTGGCCACCGAACCAATCGTTGTTTTGCAAAGGATGTTTACATTACAAGCACCAGGTCAACCATGTCCATGTCTTGAAATAGTCTTTGAAGCCAGCAGGTATTTTATTCCCAGAGTTCGTGGCACCTGGAGACCTCGCCAAAGGAATGGCCATATGACTTGGTCTAGATGTCAAGAGACCAAAGCATATGGCAAATAGAAACAACTTTATAGCAGCTATATATGGTCTTCAAAAGACTTTTAAGCCTTTTACAAGGCAAAAGCATACGCCGTGCATATAATATATACGCCCGGCCCCATGCTATTGCCGTCCCCCTCCTGCAGGGCATTCTGCACCGGGGTTCCCGTCAACAAGATCCGGCATCGGGACTTGAGGCCGCGCAAGCTCTTCGCCAACAAGGAGGACATGTTCTTCATCCTCCGCCCCGCCGCTCGACAGAGGTGGTCCAAAATTCATGGCACGACGGTGTGTTTGACTGCAGATGAATGGCCATAGGAGATCCAGTTCATACTGGAGCCAGGTGCTCTTGATCTTCCGTGTGGCTTGAACATCAAAAGTCTGCAAACCCTCTCCAATACCAAAAGAAGAAACATAGGACTTCTGTGAACAAAGCTTCTGTAAACTACTGCCTTGTGGCTTTGCATTCTTTGGAACCTGCTAAGCCTAGCCTGCTTACCTTTTCCTCCCCATCTCCCGGTGGCGGACACCGGTGGCTCCTGTGCGCCTCGTCGCAAATCACCAAGTCCCAGGGCCTGCGACGAGGCGCTCCGGTCGGACCGAACGCACCGTTCTCCGAGAGAAGTGACGTCACCAGACACCCTGGGCCTGGTTGGCCTTTCCATCTCTAAAAGAGTGATAAGACCTGTTGACCGACTGTTACAGGCAGTGGATTCGTTTAAGAAAGAAAAAAGAAAACTCGTCATTCTGCCTGACGTGTTGGGAATTGAAAAAGAGTCTACCTTAACTGAGAGAACTGGTTCCAGGGTGACGTTGTTTCCTTCAACCCATCTTTCAGCTCTGCCTGGTGCTGCCCAGCTCCGGCAGCTCTCCGCCGGGCAGCTCCGGCTCCACGGGCTCCTCCCGGAGGAAGGAGCCGTTTGGGGAGAAAAATCGAGATCACTGAAGCATAACACTATGAACTTAAGGCTTAACGTATAGCATTAAGCAATTAAAATTGTAGCATGATGCATTTTGTATTGTATCATATATATATATACCATGAACTACACTGAAGTATTGTATTTAAACCTAACCATTGTAGTCACAATCTTCAAGTCACTCAACCAATGCAACTCCACACTCTACACCGAAATGCGATCCCTTTTTCTGCATGAAGAAATACTTAGGAACCCATTCGCCTGGCCACAACCGTCCAACCGGAAAACCGCTCACGCCTCCTCCGACTCACCCTCGTTCTCCCCGTCGTCGTCATCCAGCTTCCGCCGCTTCGCGGCTGGGGCGCCCGGGGGCCTCGGCCACGGGCGGCCGGCCGTGGGGATCATTCAACCAAAGAAACGATGAAAACTGTTGGGTAACTGAACAGACCATGGTTTAAAAATCTGGGACATGAAATAATGGAAAGCATCGAAAACAGCAGCTGTTGCCCATCTGTGTCCTATGTTTCTAGTGTTTTCTCCATGAGCATGGGGGTTCAGGCGAGCATACTTTTGGGCAAAACGACCAGCAAATGCTAGTCGAAATCACTCCCGCACAATCCCAAAGTCTGGTCGGGAGCTGCAGCAGAATGCGGCAGAATGTCGGGAAGCTTGCACCAAATGGTCGGGAAACCACTCAAAGACACAGAAAAAAGGAACACACTGTGCCCATGTTTCACACCGGACAACCCAGCACCCGATGTTCCAGTGCCCCCACCGTGCGTGCGGGCAGTCCTGCCACGTCTTCGCGCTGGCTCCGGGACGTCCTCCACCCGCACCTCGCCGGGGTGCGAAAAACGCGCCCGACTCAGCCGGGGTGAGAAGGCTTCCGCAGGGACCATATAGGGACCAAGTTTTCGAAGCAAAGGAAAAACACCGAAAAATCAATCCTTGTCCTCCTTCGAACGAGGTGAACTCCTTCCAGCTTGACTACCATGAGTTTTCCACAGCACAGAGAAGGGGGTGAAGGTGCTGGAAAACACGAGGCCTTCTGCACTGGCAGAGTTAGTGCCGTCCAGTTCGAAGACCGCCAACGCGGCTTCAAACATGTTTTGACTCCAAAGCATACACAGAAAGCGTCGACCTAGTGCCTTGAAACGTCGACCTTGGCTTGCCTGCAAGAGCTCCTCACAGTTGATGGCCAGGGAGTAGGAGGTCAGCAGGAGACCTGCGTGACAATGACCAAGAGGAGCGACCACGTCCCGCCCCACCACTATGGCAGTGAAGAAAGACGACACTGGGGTGACAAGAAAAAATTATATATATATATATATGAATCCGCGTTGATGCTTCGGGGACCTTTAGCATGCTGGTCTGCAACAACTGTTCTTAACACTGGTTGTGTCCTGACTACATTCACATTGACTACATGGTTGTCTTGGATGTTCTGACTGTGCGACCCGAGGATGTCAACTTCACCGGCGTGGGCACACTGACATGTCTGCCGGCAAGCTAACATCCCTTCAGCATGGGATGCTGCATCTTCCTTCAAAACAGGTTTCAGTGAGAAGGGACGAGAGTAGAAAGCAGCTGAACCAGGCCAGGCCTGGTTTATTTCTCGACGGTACTAGATTGGCGAACCATGACTGAGGCCCACACAAGGGGTTGTGACCACCATGGAATCCTTCATCCCCAAGAACAACAGATCTCTAGACTTGAGATCAATCAAAAGAATGCTCCCACGTGAGGAAACGAAAACTAACATGGATCCTGAAAACCACTGGTCTTTCAGGTCCACATGAGTTTTCGGGAGTGTATTTGCCCATGACAAGCCTATATTTGGCCCGAATCCAAGCCTCCAAGCCGACAACCGTCCGCCCCAAGCGCACGGGTGTGACACCTCCCATGGGCCGCCGGATGCCGCGCAAAGCTTTGGCGCGTTGAGCCACGGTGCCATAGTAGATGTACCTGATCGAGTTCCAAATAGATCAACTGACGATAGAAAACCCCGATACGCCGTGTTTTTGGGGGAAAAGAAAGGCGAACCCGAACGGTTCATATGCTGGATTTGGGTGATCCACGACGCACGTCCCAGGTGTACCTTCCAAGTCCCGTTGAGCAGACTGGACTTGGAGTCAAGTCCCTTTTCAACCCATTACAACGTCCCCGGCGCCGAACACAAAGTCACTTAAGCGCGCTGGCTGGCAGAGTGAAGTGCTGGCGTTTTGGGGAAATATGGTGTTTTTTGCAACATCCAAACAAAAGAAAACACAAAAACGTGCTTTTACAAAAGCACGATCCCCAAGAATTTCCTCATGTCTTTTGGGAAAAAATGGCACTGAAATGCCACGACCTCCCCATGTCGACCTCCCCCTTTTTCCTCCACGACCTCTCCAGGTCCGAAATCTCGCCGACCGATTTGGCAGTTGGGCGCTTTCATCGGTACAAGACCCCCAAGTGCTCCAGCAACTCAGTGGAAAACAAAGACTCCAAGGTCCAAGCTACACTCCGTGCAGCACCGACCCCCCATGTGCACGCACATCATATGTGAATCATTGCATCATCCATTTCAAGTCCTTGACGTGTTTACTGTGCTTTTTTCTCATCTTTTTCACCTCTGAGTCCATTTCGTTGTGTCGTTTCTATCTGTTTTGACTCCTCTTCTTTCTCCGTCTCTCCCTCATCGCTCCCCGCGGTCCCGGCGCACACGGGCCAGCCGGGACACCAACTCCTGGCCTCGCGACTCCACCTGCAAGGCCCGTCGGTTTTTGCGCGGCATTCGGCGTTCGGCGCGGCATTCGGCGTGAAGTGCGTTTTGGGATGTCCGCCCTGCGAAGGGCTTGCAGCGGGCTCCGGAGGGAGTTTCCAGTTCCACAAATGGTGTTTTCCTGTGTTGTCTGGTTGTCGTGCTTTAATGAACACTATTCTGAGAACTGGAAACACCATGAAACATCCAACCCCGAAAGAACTTCATCGAATTGCACGTTGAAAGTATTCGCGTCTAGGTGCCCCATGAAACCCTCATGAAACCCTCGGTGATTCTCATGTTTGTTTTGCCGTTGGAATCTGTGAGGTCGTGCAGCCTCAAAATGTTCTGCCGAAAAAGAGGAACCCCCTTCAAGGGTCGAAAACATGGCCGGGTGAAACATGGAGGCCTCCCGAGGCCTCCACCTCTTCATCCATCGAAAAGGGTAGCCTTTCCGATCTTTAAGGCCTGATGGGGCCTGGTTGCAGATGATGGGGCTTGGTTGGCCTTCCCATCTCTAGTACTGTAGTGATAAGATCCATCTTTGACCGCTCCAATACGGTTTCCTGGGACAGACCGACCCGGTCCTCAGCGTGCAGGTCTTTCTTTGATGCCGAGGAGCTGATCTAAGAGCGTCACGGGCATCAGCAACAGGGCGTGGGTCTTCCCCGCCTTCCGTGCACCGTTCAGCAGCGCACAGACCTGCCGAAACCGGGTTTGGGGAGGAGTCTATGGCCCAAACCGATACAGGGGGGTTGAAGGAGGGAGTTTGGGGATGGGCGTGGGGGGTATGAAAAAAGGTCTGGTCTGGATCTTTTGACCTTCCACGGGGCAGTCAAGGCCTGAATGGTCTTTCCCAAGCCCATCTCATCCGCCAGCACTCCTGCGACAAGCGGCGTAGTAATTTGTAGCCGCTGGCGCTGTGTCACAACTGCAAGCATTGAGCTCTTACAACCCATATTCTTCACAACAGATTCAATCTGAAGCCAACTCCTTCCAACCTTCTAACCTCTCACGTCCTATGGCTTCATCCTCTTCACATGATGATGGTTCATAGGCACTTGCACATGTAACAAAGCAACCAGCAGTCATGCTATCAAACTGACCTCTTCCAACCTGCACACAGAGAACAAAACCCCAGCCTCCATGTTGTCGGTTCAGCAGTTGCGCCATCCAAGCCACTCCGTCTCGTTGGTATCCATAAAGCCGGTCGTAGATGTCGTTGGGAAGCGCAAAGCGCAAGTTGGAGCCCTCTGGGCCCGCGCTTTCACCCTGGCGGCTCAACCACGGTCGCCAACGAAACCAAAAAGGAGCCCCCTTTTAGGAGCCGGTCAACATTTCTTGTAATCTACCTCCTTCACCTCTTACTCTGAAGTAATACCCCAAGAAAAACCATTCACCCACCCATACCCACCCGACATCACACGTTGGTCGACCAGACATGGTCGGATCTGCAGGTCTCCACCAGTCTCCACCGGTCTCCACCGGTCTCCACCGGTCTCCAGTCCCGCCTCCCAGCAGAGCTCCATGCTCTCGGAGGCCTCCTCGCCCGCGCGCCAGCAATTCCGCGGGGCCGAGGCCTCAGCCCGGAGCACGGTTTGAGATCGAGCAAAAGTAAGAAAAGCAAACGAAGAATCCCTTATATAACATATATATATATATATATATATACCAGCACCTTCATGTCGGGGTCACCTGGCTGGAAGCCCCTGCACCACTAAGGGACCTCCATTGGACACCCCTTGAAGGTCCAGGTATATATAGATCTGGAATTTGATCCATTTGCTGAACCCAGCACTTGCGGACCCTGCTACACCGCACTTGCGGTTCCACAGCACACTTACACACCACAGCACTGGCAGTCAGTCAAAGAGTGGAGAGAATCCAAACACCTCCATGTCAAACCTGCGGCCCGCGACGCCGACGGAGCTCGGTCGCCCCAAAACCACCGGGGCACCCGGCGGAGGAGCCCGGTGCAGCACGGTCACTGGGAGTGGGAACACCTTCAACTCGAAGGGCCTGAATCACACCGGTCCATGGCAGAAATGGCACGTGGAGAAGGTGCAGGGAGATGAGGATCCCATGAGACCAACGAAGAAACTGCTGAAAGGGTTGGAAAAGCACGGTGCTCTTGGATCAGTCTTCCCAAGTGGTTTTTGCAGAGGCTTCGGTGCCCAGAGAGATGCGAAAAGCGACGGAAAGACAAAAAAACACGGTGTCCTCGAGTCGTCCGGCATCCACCCAAAAGACCCGATGTGTTTGATACTGATTCTCACGCAGCCTCGGGTTCACCTGGTTTTTGTGCCTGTTTTGTGCCTGGTTTTTGAGCGTGTCACCTAGGATAATAGTTTGAGACAAAACAGGTGCAACACATCCAATTTCTCCACAGCAGGTGCAACATCCCACCATGGACGACACGACTGCCGTGCTGTCCTGCAACTTCTTCTCCTGCTCCTGGATCATCTGTTTGGCTTCGTGGGCCCCCATGTAGTCCTTCCAAGGGACGAGGGAAGGATGCCCCAGTGGTTCCGGAGCGATGAGCTGCACCAAATGGTGGTCGTTCGACCGTTACTGCGCTTTGGGATATTGTCTTTCGGCCGCGGATTCAACCGGGCCGATAGGAATACTAAGCGAAAACAAACCCCAGGTCCATCGTTGTTGCTTCTGCTTCTGCTTCTGCTTCTGCTTCTGCTTCTGCTTCTGCTT